CATTCACGCACACACACACGCACACACACACACACACACACACACACACACGCACACGCACGCACACGCACACGCACACACACACACACAGGTCACTTCGGCGAAGGGTCGCTTTCAAGCGTGGCGGATGCAGGCACCAGCCTCCCGTCCAGCGGCAGGGAATGCTGCCTCCAAGCCACCCACGTCCAGCTTCTGGGAAGCTTGGTAGTCTTTGATGACCATGGCCTCAGCGTGCGGATTGACGCGGCCAGATCAAAAGAGCATACGGATTGAAATAGTGAAATAGAACGAACGACGAACGACCACCGCTGCGGAGAAGCGCCTGGGCTTAGCTCAGACCAGGTGGGTTGGGCCGTGGCCTCTGGATTCTGGCGCGTCTGGGCACAACCAATGCGAGACATACCAGGTTAGGAGGAGAGGGGGAGGAGGAGGAGGAGGAGGAGGAGGAGGAGGAGGAGGAGGAGGAGGAGGAGGAGGAGGAGGGGGAGGAGGAGGAGGAGGAGGAGGAGGAGGAGGAGGAGGAGGAGGAGGAGGAGCAGGTGCAGGAGCAGGAAAAAGTCCCTGGTGTTGGTGTTGGCGCGTGTGTCGCCTCGGTTTCTCGCTATTGGTCGTGGACGCTTGCTCGCGTGGGGTCGATTCTCCGTACTGTTGGCACACTGACCGAGCTAGGATAACACCGCTCGGCTGCAAAATGCAGCGACCTCTGCGTGGACTCACACTCTCGTGACCCACAGCGCGCGGGAAGCGAGGCCACCGACGAGGCTTCTGGACACAGCTCGGGGGCACCCGCCCAACCAATCCGTCTTGGCGACAGAGTCCCAGCGGGTGCTGGGCCCCAAGGCCCTCCCCCAGGGCCAAGTCTTCCTCCCGAGCCATTCTCTGACAGTCCCGGGGCGCGCGGAGGGCCCCGCGAGGCCCGACGCGGCGAGCAGGACCCGCTTTTTCTGCTCTCGGGGCCCGCTTCCCCCATGGCGAGGGGGGCAACTAAAGGAGCCCAGGGACACACAAACAAATACACACAGATAGCAGGATTCCCTATAGTTTCTGGGTTCTTGTCTTCCCCCCCCCCCCCCTCCCATATTTTCCCATATTTTCCTGAAGTCGACGATTCATTGTGTCTGTGTGTTTCTTTCCCTCCTGAGCAACACGGTGCAGCCCTGGCGGCCAGTGACGAAAATCCGGCCGGCGGCGCGCGCTCGAAGCAAATGAGCAGATGTCTGCATTGCTCCCCGCAGCGAGAGCGGGGGCTGCCTGCGCGCAGCGCGCTCGAGGAGGAAGGGGCCCCAGGACACACAAAAAAAATACGCACAAATAAACATATTCCCCATATGTTCCCATATTTTCGGGGTTTTTGTCTTCCAACCCACTTCCCATATTTTCCTATATTTTCCTGGGAATCGACGATTGATTGTGTCTGTGTGCTTGTTCCCCTCCTGAGGGGAGGCGGCGGCGCCAGGCACCGCCAGAGGCAACAAGCACGGAGGCCACTGGCGAAACTGGACACCCAGGGCGAAGCTAGGACGAGGACGGCATCGGGCGAGGACGAATCGAGAACCTATGCAGATCTGGCAGTCTCAGGCGCCGCGGACCTCTCAGAGCGTTGCGCAAGGCTCTGAGCGCGTTCCGGAACGCCCTGGAGCGAATTGCTCCTCGTCCACGCCCCGTCCGACGCACCGCGCCCTTTCGGCCGAGACCACCGCACTGGAGGGTCCCGTATACCGCCCGCGACAACCGCACCGGACGATGCCGCACCAGCCGCGACCACAACACTTGACGATGTGACCGCGGCTGCCGTACCGGACGGTACCGTACTGTGCCTCACACTGTATCGACCCCGTCTCCGTGTCTTTCACAATAGGCGAGTTCCTGACGTTGCGCATGCAGGATCATTCAGCATCGGAGCGGGAACTCGGGCCGAATCTCAATGCGCATCGGATTGGGCCGCATCGACACAGAGTCAGGATCGAAGCGGATCGACTTACCAGCGGGCCGCAGCGGATCGTCGGAACACCGTGATCGGATCGGACCAGGCTCGCCGGAATGGACACCAGATGGGTCGCCCAGTTCGACATGGACCCTGCAATGACACTGCCCCCAGACCTCGAGGCCACGGCCTGGCCCTCTTGCGGGAGAATCGCATATACATATATATATATATATATAGATGTATATATATATGTATATATATATACATCGGAGGTGAGGGGGTGAGATGGAAGTGGAACAGAGAGCCCCCCTACGTACCAGGAAATCGGTTTCGGTTTCGTGTTCGTGCGTGCCGCGCGTGCGGGCGAGGCGAAGCTGCGTGGGCGGGCGAGAAGAAAGTCTCCTCCGGCTGAGGCGCGGCCGGACCAAATGATTCCTTTCCAGGGGCCGGTGTCCCGCGGTGTCCCGCCAGTGTCCCGCTTCTGGCTGAGGCGCGGCCAGACCAAATGATTCCTTTCCGGGGGCCGGTGGCCCGCGGTGTCACGCTGGTGTCCCGCCAGTGTCCCGTCAATGTCCCGATGATGATGATGATGATGATAATGATGCTGCTGCTGCTGATGATGATGATGATGCTGATGATGATGATGATGATGGTGATGGTGGTGATGATGGTGTCCCGATGATGATGATGATGATGATGATGATGATGATGATGCTGATGATGATAATGATGATGCTGATGATGATGATGTTGACAATGTTGATGATGATGGTGATGATGATGGCCATGGTGGTGATGATGATGGTGTCCCGATGATGATGTTGATGATGCTGATGTTGCTGATGATGATGATGGCTCCCCGATGATGATTATGATGATGATGTTGATGATCCTGATGATGTTGATGATGACGAGATGATGAGATGATGATGATGCCGATGATGATGAAGATGATGGAGATGATGACGATGATAGTGTTCCGATGATAATGGTGATGATGAGGTTGATGATGATGTTGATGATGATGGTGATGCTGATGATGGTGTCCCGGCGATGATGATGATGTTGACGATGATGGTGTCCCGATGATGATGATGATTATGATGATGATGCTGGTGATGGGGATGATGAGGTGGTGATGGTTTTGATGGTGGTGGCCCGATGATGATGTTGATGCTGATGTTGATGATAACGGTGTCCCGATGATGATGATGATGATGGTGGTGATGATGATGATGTTGACGATGATGATGGTGTCCCGATGATGATGATGATGATGTTGATGGTGATGTTGCTGATGATGATGATGGTGGTGTCCCGATGATGATGATGTTGATGATGTTGTTCATGATGATGATGATGATAATGTCATGATGATGGTGGTGTTCCGATGCTGATGATGATGTTGGTGTTCCAATGGTGATGATGTTGATGATGATAATGGTGACGATGATGGTGTCCCGATGGTGATGATGGTGATGATGATGTTGATGATGATGGTGATGAGATGATGATGATGATGATGATGATGCTGATGATGATGCTGATGATGATGATGTTGACAATGTTGATGATGATGGTGATGATGATGGCCATGGTGGTGATGATGATGGTGTCCCGATGATGATGTTGATGATGCTGATGTTGCTGATGATGATGATGATGGCTCCCCGATGATGATTATGATGATGATGATGCTGCTGCTGCTGATGATGATGATGATGCTGATGATGATGATGATGGTGATGGTGGTGATGTTGGTGTCCCGATGATGATGATGATGATGATGATGATGATGATGCTGATGATGATAATGATGATGCTGATGATGATGATGATGATGTTGACAATGTTGATGATGATGGTGATGATGATGGCCATGGTGGTGATGATGATGATGGTGTCCCGATGATGATGTTGATGATGCTGATGTTGCTGATGATGATGATGGCTCCCCGATGATGATTATGATGGTGATGATGATGTTGATGATCCTGATGATGTTGATGATGACGAGATGATGAGATGATGATGATGCCGATGATGATGAAGATGATGGAGATGATGACGATGATAGTATTCCGATGATAATGGTGATGATGAGGTTGATGATGATGTTGATGATGATGGTGATGCTGATGATGGTGTCCCGATGATGATGATGATGTTGATGATGACGATGATGGTGTCCCGATGATGATGATGATGATTATGATGATGATGCTGGTGATGGGGATGATGAGGTGGTGATGGTTTTGATGGTGGTGGCCCGATGATGATGTTGATGCTGATGTTGATGATAACGGTGTCCCGATGATGATGATGATGGTGGTGATGATGATGATGTTGACGATGATGATGGTGTCCCGATGATGATGATGATGATGTTGATGGTGATGTTGCTGATGATGATGATGGTGGTGTCCCGATGATGATGATGTTGATGATGTTATTCATGATGATGATGATGATAATGTCATGATGATGGTGGTGTTCCGATGCTGATGATGATGATGGTGTCCCAATGGTGATGACGTTGATGATGATAATGGTGACGATGATGGTGTCCCGATGGTGATGATGGTGATGATGATGTTGATGATGATGGTGATGAGATGATGATGATGATGATGATGATGATGATGATGATGATGATGATGATGATGGTGTCCCGATGATGATGATGATGATGATGATGATGATGATGATGATGATGATCCTGATGTTGTTGATGGCGTTGATGACGATGATGTTGATGATGACGTTGAGTATGAGATCGATTGTGACATCGATCTTGAGATCGCTAGTGAGTCCGAATGTGAGATCGATTGTGAGATCGATAGTGAGATCGATAGTAAGATCGATTGTGAGATCGATAGTCAGATCGATTGTGAGATCGATCGAATGAAATAGATCGAGTGAGATCGATTGTGAGATCGATCGAGTGAAATCGATCGAGCGAGACCGATAGTGAGATCGATAGTGAGACCGACCGATCGAGTGAGAGGTTGGTTCCTCCCCCCCCCGAACCTCCTTATCACCCGAAGGGTGGTCGTATAGGTATATACACTAAGACATTCGGGCCTGCACCCTAAACATAAGGCAGATGCTATCTTGGACGTCCCACGCTCGCAAACCTATCCTGGGACAACGCGCACCAATTCCTGTGCGGGGTGGCGGTCGCACTCGCAGGAGTCGGGGGGGCATACAAGTGCACCGACGCCGCCACTCCCCTGGCCTCGCCCGGGGTGCGTTCGGAACAGGATTTCGAGGAGAAGCCGGCCAACAACACACACCCATACCCATAGGGGGGTCGGAGAGGGCTATGGGTACGTGTTGTCGGATGGGGGTCCCCGCTCGAACGGGAGCGTTCCCCAGGGTCTGACAACCCGCACCCATACCCATAGCGAGTCCTCCTCCCAACGACCGCCCTTCTGGGTATGGGTGTGTTGTTCGTTCGTCACTCCAGGCCCTCGAGGCCGAGCCCCGGCCAGGCCCTGGCCCCCCGCGGCGCCGCCCCCCCCCGTGGAGGCGCGCACGTGGGAAGGCCTGCCCCGCGCGCACGCCGCCCTCCGCGCACGCGCTTTCGCCTGTGAAGAAGAAGTTGGCGCAGGCAGAGCTCTCGTCCTCCTCCTCCCAGCACGCGCCCTCTCTCGTTCTCCTCCTCCTCCTTCCTTGTCTTGAGCATCTGTGTCATGCCCGTTTGAGTGCAGCTCGTAAAGAAGTTGGCGCAGGCAGAGCTCTCGTTCTCCTCCTCCCAGCACGCGCCCTCTCTCGTTCTCCTCCTCCTTCCTTGTCTTGAGCATCTGCGTCATGCCCGTTTGAGTGCAGCTCTCGCTGGGACATGCTTCCAGACTGGCGATCCGGATCTTCCCATGCGCCCAGTTGCCGGGACTGCGTGTCCCATACCTGCCCTCCGAGAGGACGACCCATAGGGGCTGGAATGCGGGTCACATCGCATCGCACCGCAAAGAATCCGACGCGAGTAGATTGGATAACCCCCCTAGGGGCCCCAAAATGCCGCCAGGAACATGTGAAAACACATGCCAAAAGCATGCGCGACAAGACGCGTGCTGGAGACCCCCCCTTCTTTACACGTATGTTTACGTGCCCAATTCCGACACCACCTTCTCGACACCATTCGGGTACAGGGCCAAAGGTCCGCACACTGAAAGAGAACGAGATACCAAAAAACAACGATACTAACACGATGGGAGGCCATCGGAGGCCACGGGGGACCACAGGAGACTAAGGAGCCCGACCGATTCCAGATCCGGCGATCCCCGGACTCCATTTCTTAGAAGCAGTAATAGGTGAGACTATTGCAGACATTCTGTTTAAGGAATCCTGACGTTGGGGGCCTGGGTTCAGACATGGCAATGAACTGGAGCAGGTCTTCGACTCAACCTTCCTCATGCTGCGCCGCTGTGTCGGCACGCTGGCGGGATTTGCCGCAGGCAGCTGGAAGGCACCGAAGAAGCGATGTGATGATCAGAGAGGGGCTCATGTCAGGGAGGAGAGACAAGGAAACACTAGGAGAACGAGAAGAACGAGGACATGGATAGAGGGGGTCAACAAAAACACACAGGGTACCTCAACAGAAGCCGTAAGAGCCCAAAACCATGCTGTATGATCTTTACGACTGAGGTCACGACTGAGCTCATCAACGCTGAGGTGGGACACGTGTGTAAAATGGTATTCCCCGCAACAATGTTACAGATTGCTTTGGAGCGATCCACTAAACATGTTTGTGTTACGACATTGCTCGGCTCAGTCCACGAGGCGGCGCAAACTTCTTGACCTGTTCATTGCTTGTGTATAGCACCGTGCGGCGGAATACGTTCGCAATGTCTCACCGCTCGCACAAAACAAAGTCAAGGCTACAGCCGTAACCGTGGCTTGACCGGTTCATTGACATGGCGCCCCGCCACACAACTCACGCCCAACAGCGTTGGTCGCTGTTGAATTCACCCACGCTGGTCCGACCGCAGTTGCGGAACCGCAGCAAAGGACTCCAGGCTCCACTGTTATGTCGGGCGTGTCCTCCTACAGGGGATTTTCGACGAAAAATAAACATACCCCAAAAATATTCCAAAAAGGCAAAAATACTCCAAAAATAGTCCCCAGACTATTTTTGTATTTTTGTTTGACTATTTTTGGGGTATGTTTTTTTCGTCGAAAATCCCCCTGTAGGGTGACAGGCCCGACTTAACTCAACTGCGTCGGTCGTTCATGAGATGATTCACGCAGGATCGACGTTGTGCGCGGCTTGGGGGGGGGGGGCGGAAGATGGGAGCGAACGCAGGAACGACTTTTTGGTCGGCGGGTCGGGAGCCGGCCCCTTCCGGTTAAGAGCTAGGCGGGGCGCGCGAAGCACTAATTGGGGAGACAGGGCGCGGGCGGGCGGGGCCTCAGGCGGCCGGAGGGCGCGGGGTGCAGGCGGTGCCGAAGAGCTTGCACAGGAAAAGGTACGCAGGAACGACACGTGACGCAGTGGAAACGGCTTCCCCCTGCTTCCGTGGCCTCCTCTCCCCGTGGCCTCCCCTCCTCGCGGGCTCCCTCCCCCCCGTGGCCTCCCCCCCCTTCCCTGCCAGCCCCCCCCCCCCCAGCGACGTTGTGTGCGTGAAAAGTCAGAGCCTTGAGAGGATGTGATTTGTGTGTTGTTGTGTGCTCTTGTTGCTTTTGTGCTGCGCCGCCTTTCTTCTGTGTTTCGCTGACGTGTTTGATCGCTCTGCCCACGCTCTGCCCAGGCCGCGGCCGCCGGGCGGTCTGAGGGCTTCGGCCGCCAGGCGTGGGCGACGTGGCCTCCCTCCGAGGAGGACCAGCTCAGGGGGGGACCGGCTCGGGGGGGAAGATCGAGCCGGCATCGGCGCTACGTCGCCGTCAGATCGGCTACAGTTAACGGGCGAAGAACGGTATAAAATAAACTTTCTCGCCGTCGGGGACACCTGCCCCAGGGCGGCTGGAAAGTTTATACCCTTACGGTGGCACCGTAGGGGTATAAACTTTCCAGCCGCCCAGGAGCAGGATTCCCCGAAGGCGAAAAAGTGTATGTTATACCGTTCTTCGCTCGCTGATACAGGCCCTCGAGAGCGAATCCGATCTCGGTCAGGGGCGGCGTGGGCCATCGGGACCCCCTGCCGGCGAGCAGTGGGCGAACGGGGGGGTCGAGGCATCGCCCCGCTGGGCCGGTCCCTCCAAGCGTTGCCCCTTGGCTTTTACGGAGGAGGAGGAGGAGGAGGAGGAGGAGGAGGAGGAGGAGGGGGAGGAGGAGGAGGAGGAGGAGGGCACCCCCACAGACCCCCTCTGGCGGGGCGCGGCCGCCGGAAAAAGCGCCCCGAGACTGGAAAAAGCACCGCCGCAAACGGAAACGCCCGCGAGAGCGGAGGGGAAAACGCCTGCTCCGCGCGCGTCGCCGCGGCGGGCCCGGGCGCCACGCGGCGTCCTGCGAGCGGCCCGCGCGTCGCTCCGACCCTCGGGGACGCCGGCGCCTCGGGGCCGGGACACGGATCCTCGGGCTGCCTGGCGCGGGGTCTTGGTGCAGCGCTTGGCAGCGCGCCGGGCCCCCCCGGCTTGGGGTGCGGCGGCGCCGAGCTAGTTAGGTGGGATTGGCGTCGCGGCGGCTGCCCTGGGCAGCCGTTGTCCCGCGCGCTCGCCGGGCGCGCTCTTTGTCCTCCTCGTTCCTCCTCCCCCTCCGCCGCCTCGTTTTCCGGCTTTTCCGCGTCTGCTCGTCACCCGTTCTTGCCGCCGGGCCCCTGCTGGATTGTAAACAAAAAATGTCGCGCCAAGGCGTGGCAGGCCAGAAGCCGCGGAGCGACACGGCAAGCCAACGTTCCCGAATGACGAATTAGTGAAGACAATCTGGAAACTCGACACGTCTAAAGAATTGTTATAAATGCGAGCTGCACCTGGAACCCTAGCGAACGAACGCTCGAGATTCAAGAGCAGAGAGACGACCAGGTACATCGGCCATCTCGTCCGTTGAAGGATCGATTGCCGGCGATCCCTCCCCGACCCGACCCGCCGACCCGCCCGCCTCGGCGATGCGGCGCCTCTGCGGCAGCGTGAACTGCGACCTCGGAGGAGCCAGGGCCGTGGAGGAGCCGAGAGGCGCGCGCCACGCGCGGGCCCTCCCTCCCTCCCCTCCCTCCCTATCCCTCCCTCCTCCCTCCCTCCCTCCCTCCCCTCCCCTCCCTCCCTCCCTCCATCCCTCCCCTCCCTCCCTCCCTCCCCCTCCCCTCCCTCCCTCCCTCCCCGTCCCTCACCGTGCTCCTCCTCCATAGATTCAACAGCCAATGGCAACGGTGTGTGTCAGACGATGCCCCCCCCCCCCCAGTAGCCGTTGCCCCTGGGGGGGGACCGAGCCGAGGCACCTGCAATGACAAAAAGGCAGCGAAGCGGCAGACCCCCCTCAGCGCGTGGGATCTGGATCCCCCTGCGCCCCACGGGGGAAAAAGGAGGGGCGAGAAACAGGGAGAAAGACACGCGGGTAACATGAGCTACGAGGCGGCGGTGGCGAGGCGAGGTCGTGGCGGGGTGGCCCGCGGCGCGCGCAAGGTGGCGAGACTGTGGCCACGCCGCGCGCCGGTGGCGAGTGTGGTCAAGCCACTCTCGCCAGGTGGAAAGGAGCGAAGGCCTCGCCTCCTCCTCCTCCTCCTCCTCCTCCTCCTCCTCCTCCTCCTCCTCCTCCTCCTCCTCTGCGTTGGGAAGGTTTGCGCCCTCCGCGGCGGCGGCCGTGTGGCCAGGCGGCCGAGTTGTGCGCACAGCCGCCCTGGCCAACGCCAGGGCAGCCAGCGGCCAGATGCCCTTCCCGCTCTCCCAATGCGGAATGCACCCCCCGAGTCCATAGTTCAGCGAAGGTGCAAGCGGTAAGGGTGTGGCACGAGTGAAGTAAGACTGTCACGTAAACGAACTCAATCGTTTGCAAGGTCAAGGGCAGCTGCGAGGCGGCGGTGGCGGGGCGAGGGCGAGGCGGTGGCTTGTGGCGCCCGCTGGTTGCAATTGTGGCTAAGCCACTCTCGCCACGGCGGCAGCGTGACCAGGCGGCTGAGTTGCACCAGTAGCCGCCCTGGCCGGTGCCAGGACAGCCTGCTGCCGGCACCCTTCCACCCTCAACATGAATCCCACCCCCGTCCCCATGGTTCAGCGAAGGTGCCAGTGGCAAGGGAGTGAAGTGAGTGAGGTACTGGCAAATGAACGATTTCAGAACGGCATGAGCGGCGCTGCGAGTGGGGCTGGGCTGGAGGTGTGCAGGGAATGTGGCAAAAATGACCAGGCAATCGCAAGGGGTTGGCGGCTCTGCTGGCCGCAACCCCCTGGCGAACGCCGAGGGGTTGTCGGCCGCTGTTTCCTTTCTCCCCCCGACAGATGCGATGAAACACGTGCGCTCCCGTAGGGGGGAATAGGTTAGCAGGGTGCACGGCGGGGGGCGGGGGGCAATCAAGAGCAGGTGGGGCCAGGAGAGAATGAAGGTTGGAGTTGGGTTGAGGGCCCTCTTAGGACCGGTGGGGGGTAGGCTCTTCGTGTTGACGCCCCGAGGCCCCCGCAGAGCTGGTGATCAAGACCACCCCCGGGGAGGTGCATGAGAAAGCTCAACCCACTGGTCTGTGGAAATATAGTGTCCACCCAAGAGCATACGATATGTGTGTGGCGTCTGTGGGAGAGAAAGCCGTGGCGGGTTGTGGGAGCCCTGTATTGCCGCCGACCCACTGGCATAACGTTCGCGCGTGGGTGAGACAGCCACGGCGGATTGCGGAGCCCTGTACGACCGCGGACACACTGGATAGCATACCTGGTGTCGATGTAGGCGCCGTCGTGGTGCTATGAGACGCCGGTTCAACCTCGGCGGGTCAGAAATCCATGGCGGTTTATGAAGCCCTGTCTAAATGTGGGCCCAGTAGCATGGCGTTGGCCTGTGGGTAAGAATCCCACGGCGGGTTCGGGAGCTCAGCGTGACCCTGGACCCACTACATACCAAAGCCGTTGAAGGTGTAGCCGCCGTCAGCCGTGGTGCTATGAAACGTCGGATGCTCTTGTGTTGGTGAAAAAGCCACGGCGGGGTTTTAAAAACCTGTGTTACGGAGAACCCACTATCTTCGCGCCTTTCGAGATGGTGACAGTCGCCGTATGCTAGGATGCAGTGCTGCTGTCGCTTGGAGAGAAGGTGGAAGTAGTGTCATGTGCCGCATGCGTAGGTGATCCAGCAGCTGCTGCTGCTGCTGCTGCTGCTGCTGCTGCTGCTGCTGCTGCTGCTGCTGCTGTCACAGCAATGAGCGGGGCTATTTGGTGCAAGGATAGTGCCGAAGTCACGTGTAAGGTAAGGGACAGGCGGTGGTGCCCTAGGCTGCCCCGAGCAGCACTGGGCAGTTTGCGCTGCCGGTCGCGGGGAGCACAAACGTCGAGGTTAGAGTGACACACTGACGGGTCGCCGTGAGGCAAGTCCCGTCACGGCATGAGGGCGGCGTTCCACTCTGAAACGGTGGTTGTGGAGAGGGCCCTCTGGAGAATCCACAGGATACAATGAGGCCAGGACCCAGACCCCCTCGAGACGTGACAAAGAAAACGACGGGAGGTTTTCTGTGTTTTTGCATCTGGGGGCCCTCACCGAGCCTCGAGACCGTCAACGAACGGCCGGGGATGCACCTGCACCGGGGGCATGGCCCAGAACTCTGCAGGGGCCCGCAGTCATGAACAGAACCACGATGCCAGTGGTTGGGAGGCCAGACTGGGACTCGGCCAGACTGGGATAAATCAAGTGTCTTACCAGCCTGGAACATATCCCTATCCCTATGCTGGGCACCTCCTCATCACGATGCCAATCTGAGGGATTCCCTTATTTTTTGAAGGCGAATCCCTAAGACTGTCATCGCCTTTGGGCGTGCCAATCTCAGGGATAGGGATACGTTCGAGGCTGGTAAGTGCCTCTGAGATCTGGCGGCTCCGGAGGACGTGTCGGGCGCCGCGGCCGCTCCAGAGCGCTCCAGAAGAGAGCGTTCGGGAATGCTCTGGAGGAGGAGGAGGAGGAGGAGGAGGAGGAGGAGGAGGAGGAGGAGGAGGGGGAGGAGGAGGAGGAGGAGGATTCCAGAGCGCTCCAGAAGTGAGCGTTCGGGAATGCTCGGGAACGCTGTCTCCTGGTCCCGGCCCCGCCCGACGGGAGCTCCCCGCGAGGAGGTCTCCCGTCTCGCCGCCGCTCGGGCGCCCCTTTCCCGTGCATATGTTCTGGTCTCGTGCGTGGCAATTTTCGCCGAATGATCAAGGATGCTCCTCTATGGTCCTCGCCGAAAGAAAAATGCACACGTCCGAGCGATGCCAAGCCTTTGTACGGTCGGAGTGTGGTCGCGGCAGCCCCCGCACCTTACGCGTGCGAGGCCTCGTGGAGGTCCACGGCCCCGGCGTGGTCCGGAGGGCCTCTGGAGGTCCACGGGAGGTCCCCGGAGGCCTCGCTTTGGCGGCGCGCACAAGGGGGTGGGGGGAGGGGGGAGGGCGTCTTCGAAGCAGGCTGCGTCTTAGAAGGCGCCGGCCTCACATCTACAGATAACGCCCGCGCCCTCTAAGAGGCAGGGGTGCTTCTAAGAAGCCCTCCCCCCTCCCCCCAGCCCCCTCTGCGCGTGGCTGATCGCTTGTGGTGGCCGACAGCAGGAGTGCGAATATCAAGAGCATGGGCCCTTTCACGAAGAGGTCCAGGGCCACATGGAGGGACCCAGGCCAAAGGACGTTCCACGGTGGAGAGCCCAGGCACGCAGAACGCCAGGGTACCCTCCCAAAGCTAGGTCTTGTCATTCAAGCCCTCGTGGCAGCTGCATCAAACAGCCAAGTGTTCTTGGCCAAATTACCCATGCAGTCCTTGTTGGGAACGGATGGTCTACAGTGCGGCGTTTTGAGACAAGGAGGAGGAACAAGTCGAGAGAATGATGCGCAGCAGCATTGAAGTCTGCAACCGTTTGACAAAGGCCACAACTCCAAAACAGGTATTCAAGGTGCGCCTGAGGGGAATCCGGGAGCGCCCTGAACGTAGCAGCTTCTTCAACGGCTGCGGGAAGTCACCGCGCAGCGGGCGGAGCGAAGAAACCCAGGATACCCTAACGAAAAACACATGGTTTCTTGATGCGCGCCCCCACTGTAACCCGCCGAAACAGTAAACCACTTCCGCCTCGCTTGGCGACGGAGAGCGCCGATTACGTGTGCGAGCGGGACCCATCGCTATCCCACGCGCCTGGAATCTATTTGTTTGCGCCTCCTCGGATCTCCGGTCTGCGGCACCCCGGAGGTCTCTCCCGGAACTCCAGCGTGCAGAACAAAAACATGGAGGACGACTGCCTTTCTTCGGGGGCCACATGCCAACCCTACCCCTACAGTCAACCCGTGCAGTAAGGATGCGCGATAAGGATGCAAGGGCCTTGGACGCCCAATTCGAAGCTCTTCGAGCGGGGCGCGGCCAACGACCGTGGCGAAGGATGGACCGAGGGGGCAAGGATGCAAGGGTACCCTTGGAGAGGCTGCCCATCCATATTATGCGGGTTGACTGTACTCCCCACGATTTCTGAGGGGGAGGCTCGGGTTCACTTTGCTCGGGAGCTCCCGCACGAAGTGAGCCCCACTCTCCCCCTCAGAAACCGTCGGGAGTAGGGGTGGGGTCCGCATGTGGCCACCTATTGTTGTCATCGTCGGCCCTCGTCGAGCTCCAGGGCTAGCCCGAAACCGCTCCCCGAGAACCCCCAGGGCGGCCTAGGAACGGACGGAACGCTGGGCCGGCCGCGTCCGCGGCGAAGCAGTGTGTATCGCGATGTCGGCGGACCCTGCTGGATGTCCAGGGAGGGCGGCAGGGGCAGGCAGGGGATAATGCAGTCTTCCGTCCTCCTTGGTCTCTTGCACTCATGCACCTCACTCGGGACCCCCAAGACCGGACCCATAGACCATAGATGCCCCCGTGGAACCCCCTAATTAAACCAGGGCCACCTGACACCACCCAGACCAGAAAGAAACACACGGTAGCCTCCTCCTCCTCCTCCTCCCCCTCCGTCCCGCCCTTCTCCTCAGCTCCCCTCACCGCCTCTCCCTCCTGGAGGAGTCGAGCCCCTGACCACCACCTCGACACATCTTGAATACCTCCTCCCTCTCCTCGTCCCTCTCCTCCCAGCCCCTCCCCGTCCGCATGGAAAAGAAAAAAGAAGGGCTTTCGGGCTCGGGTCTCCAAAGGCTGATGTGGACGATCTGAGCCACCCACCGACCGCTCTCAGCGAGGCGCAGCTGCTGCAATGCATACTCGGGCTGGCAAGCCTCAAGACGCGCACGAAGACGCCCAAGAGCCTCGAACCTTGCCTCCTGGGGGTGGGATGGGGGGAGTTGTGAGTCCAAAAACAATGAAGGGGCCCTGGAACACACAAATAAATACACACAAATAACAGGATTCCCCATATTTGTCCCATATGTTCTGGGTTTTTGTCGTCCCCACCACTTCCCATAGTTTCCCATATGTGCCTGGGAGTGGACGATTAATTGTGTCTGTGTATGTTTCCCCTCCTGACACATAGAGGAGCAGAACTGCGCAAGCATGAACCGTCGGGGGCGCCGCACGGATTTTTCTTGGATCGGCGCTGGGACCCCTCCCTGGCGCATGGAGCGTGCCGATCCAAGAGATCCGCGCGGGCCGTCGAGACATGATGTTTACGCCGATGTTTATTCTTCGAAGAAACCGTGCGGCGACCCCGAATCCCATTTTGAGCAGGGACCGACCGTCCCGGCATTCCTATAGTCCTACCACGCAATGTTCTCAGAACTCAAAAATGCTGCAAGAACAAAAGCAATGTTCTTAGAACGTTCGCCCGATGTGTTAAATCAAGACAGACTCAACCAGAAATGCTCAAATAACATTCCGTGCAAACCACAAAAGGTTCTTCGAACATTGCTTGGTAGGCCTATAGGCACGCCAGGACGCTTCGACACCGCGCGCCGACCCCAAGATCCGACGTCGTGAGTTTTTCAATACGGGGTCCCTGGAAGTCTCGACCCATTCCACACGACCGGTTTTTCATCCTGAGTCGTTTTTTGACGATCCCGAGGCCCGGCGAGGGCCCCTAGAGACCGAAAAATACGAAAAACCTCCGACATGAGTTGTTTCAATACGCTGGATCTCTGGGGGCCCCGAAACCCACGGACTCACCACGCGGTGCGGTCACGGCACCCCTCAGGGGCCCCCCCTAACCAGCCTCGAACTTATCTTTATCCCTAAGATGGGCGAGCAAAAGGCGAGGACGAACTCAGGGATAAGGCCCCCAGAAACCGAGGCAAGCCTTAAGATCGGCAGCGAGGTGAGGTGATGCCAAACACAGGGATAGGGATATGTTTCAAACCGGTAACCCCCGAGGGAGGGGGGGCGCCCTGCCGCAGGATCGGGCCGCCGGGCCCCGGGCAGGAAGGGCGACTTCTCGACGCACGCGAGCACGAAGCTGCGCTCCAGCGCCCTGGGGCAGCAGCCGCGCCCCTCCCTCCTGCCTCCCTCCTCCCTCCTCCCTCCTCCCTCCTCTCTCCTCCTCCCTCCTCCCTCCTCCTCCCTCCTCCCTCCTCCCCCCTCCCTCTCTCCCTCCCTCCCTCCTCTCTCCTCCTGCCTCCTCCTCCCTCCTCTTTCTCCTCCTCCTCCTCCTCCTCCTCCTCCTCCTCCTCCTCCTCCTCCTCCCCCTCCTCCTTCTCCTTCCCCTCCTCCCCCCCCCGCAGCCTCTCTGCCTCCGCTCCGTCGGGGAGGCAGGGAGGGAGGGAGGGAGGGAGGAGGGAAGGAGGGAGGGGCAGGAGGAGGCGGAGGGGGAGGAGGTGGAGGAGTGTGATGGGGCGGAGGAGGAGGAGGAAGAGCGTGATAGGGCGGATGAGGAGGAGTGTGGGGCGGATGAGGAGGCGGAGGAGAATGAGGGGGGGAGGACAGCCACGTCCCCCCCTCTCCCACCACGCCGTCGGGAAGGGGAGAGGGGAAGGAGGGAGGGAGGCGTAGGAGTGACCCTAGGTGTGCGGCTTCGGAGAGGCCAAATGCAAGCCTGCAAGCCAACGCTCAAGGGACCACTGTCGGCCCGCACTAAAGGTCACTCCGGCGAAGGGTCACTCTTACACGTAGCCGAGGGAGACGGAATGAGAGGGAGAGAGGGAGGGAGGGAGGGAGGGAGGGAGGGAGGGAGGGAGGGAAAGAGAGAGAGAGAGAGAGAAAACAAACAAAATAGAAGAAAGAACGAGGTGAAGTTCCCACGAATACGGTCAGGAACTTTGGGGTAGCGTATCGCGGCGGCGGCCCCGGCGACACGCTCTCCCTTGCGAGCGGAGAGCGTGTTGCTCCGCTCCGCGGGGGGGAAGCTGGGAACAGCTCGGGACGTTGACGCCTGGGGGACTGGGAAGTGGATAGCGTGGAGCGCCGAAGCGTGGTGGGCCAGAACTGGCGGAGCGCCACGCTATCCAAAAGTTTCCGACCACAGGCTCCGCGATGTGCGCCAGGAGTGCCACTGGGCTGGACTCCAAAGAGACTGGCCCAAGCGGTGACTGAGGCGGGACCCCGGACCTGACCCCAATGGCCAGACGGAGGTGGAAATCCACTGGGGTGTTCCCGAGCAAAGGGGGTGGAGGAGGGAGGGAGGGAGGATGGTGGTGGTGGTGGTGCACGGTGGCCTTGCAATCAACGAGTGCTCACGGGAAACGGACAACGGAACACTCAAAACTTGAAGTCGAGAAGGGCGGGAGGGGAGGGAGGCAGGGGAGGCGGAGGGAGGGAGGGAGGGAGGGGAGGGAGGAGGGAGGGAGGGAGGAGAGGAGGGAGGGAGGGAAGGGGGAGGGGGTAGGGGAGGGGAGGGAGGGGCGGAGGGAGGGAGGGGGGCGGGAGGGGAGGGAGGGGAGGGGGGAGGGAGGGAGGGAGAGGGAATGGTCCTGGAGCGCTCGCCGCGGGATCTGGGCCCCGACTCGAAGAGCTCGGCGTCGGCCCCCCCCCCCACGCCCTCGGTGGAGGCCTCGTCGCCTCGCTGCTCGAGGGGGGCGCTGGCCGAGTGCACGGACTCGCTCGCTCCCACTCCCACAGGGGGGCCGGCTGAGGGAGGGAGGGAGGAGGAGGAGGAGAGAGGAGGAGGAGAAGGAGGAGGAGGAGGGGAGGAGGAGAGGAGGAGGAGGAGGAGGAGGGGGAGGAGGGGGAGGAGGGGGAGGAGGGGAGAGGAGGGAGGAGGAGGAGGAGGAGGAGGAGGGAGGAGGATGAGGAGGAGGAGGAGGAGAGGGAGGAGGAGGAGGAGGAGGAGGAGGGAGGGAGCAGGAGGCCGCTCGCCTGCTCCTCCCCCCTCCGCCTCAGCCCTCCCGCCCGGCCGAGCTCGACGGTCTCGTCCTCTCCACCATCTTCCCCGTCTTCATCACCACGTCCACCACCGTCACTTTCTAGGGGGACAAAAAAGTGGCACAAACATAACAACTCGGAGGTCCGCTCGGATTTCTCGGATCGGCGATGGGGCCCCCCGGCGGCGCCTCCAGCGCCGCCCCTGGCGCGCTCCGAGCGCCAGGGAGGGGGTGCAGCGCCGATCCGAGAAATCCGCGCGGACCTCCGAGTTTTTCTGTTTATGCCACTTTTTGTTCCCCTACTTTCGTCATCATCACCACAATCACGACATTCATCACCACCATCGCCATCGTCCCCCCCATCCCCAGCCATGAATGTCTTCGTCACCACCGTCGCCCGACTTGTCCCCGCCTTCTCCTCCGCCACGCCCTCCGGGTCCAGCAGCGACTCCCCCAGGGGCGTACGCGCCGAGACGCCGCTGCCGGGGAGAGAGAGGGAAAGAGCCACCGCATCAGGCGAAACTGTCCCGCGATGGAGATGGGTGGACAAGCATGGAGGCGCTACTCTACTGCATCCTGCAAAATTCAGACTCACATCTTTGCCATGCCGGTGTGTCGCGGGCGCTGGCATACCGGCTCAGAGGCCAGGCCGCCATCCCATGAGAGCAAAGACAACCACGCATTTCATCACACCATCTCCTCTTCGGCCGGTTCGGCCGTGTGCCCTTCCGGCGCGCTTGATCCTCAGGGTCCCACGTCGCTGCTCCGCAAGCCCACCGATCGACGAGCAGTTGTGCAACTCGCGACGCAAACCTCCAGATCCTACGGTGCCACGCCGGACACCAGTCGCCGACGCCTAGTCGGAGCATCTGGTAGTCCTTGTAATTTGCGACTCGCTTCGTTACAGGCCTCCTAGATGGGGTCCGAATCGATTGGGTCGGAGGATCGCGCCGCATCGCCAATGCACCCGCGACGTTGGCGTGGAGAAAATCGGGCTCCGCATCGAGCCGCATCGCCGATGCATCGCCGATGCGGCGCGATCCTCCGACCCCATCTACTCCGACCCCATCTAGGAGGCCTAGAATATGGTAGTCCTTGTAAGTTGCGACTCGCTTCGTCCGGCCCACCCAGGGCTCAAGAGGCTAGCCCGCGTCGCGAAGGCAGCGGGGGAGGTGCCGCCGAGGCCGCGGGGGGAGCTGACATCAGGAGCAAAGGTTGGAGGGTGAAAGTGGGGGTCGGGCGCAGGGTCCCGGCAATGGTGTCTTTATGGGCCATACATGGGCGATACATCCTCGATTGCGGTGTTCGGCGGGGGAACTAGTTGAAGCCCCCCGCCTGCGCCCATGCGCGAGACTTGAGGGTAAACGAAACAAGGGGGCGGGGGACTCGGGAAAGGCGACGAAGGCAACGCGCCGCCGCAGCCCTGTAAGGGCTGCGGAGGCGCCCGAGCCTCCTCGGAGCCTGGGCACTCCAAGGTTGGGCGCGCCGGGTCCCACGGGGGCCAGGCCTGCCGGCCGCCAACCTCCTCCTCCTCCTCCTCCTCCTCCTCCTCCTCCTCCTCCTCCTCCTTCTCCTCCTCTTCCTCCTCCTCCTCCCCCGCCTCCTCTCCTTCCTGGTTCCTCCGCTCCACTGTTTTTCATCTTGGACCTCTTCCTCCCCCTCCTGTCCCACCTCGTCATCGCCGACAGAGGATCATACTCCTCCTGTTCCCACTCCTGATCATGCTGCCGTTGCCCTTCCTCCTCCTCCTCCTCGTTCTCCTCGCCAGCATCAACACATGCTGGAAGTTATCGCTGCATGGCATTGAGCAGGTTCCCTGATAATGGTGTGGATTTGGTCAAGAGCTGGCCGTAGCACGCACATGAAGCAACACGCTCTCCTCGTCCCTCCTCGTCACTCTTCGTCCCTCCTCCACCTCCTCCTCCTCCACCTCCTCATCTTCCTCATCCTCCCCCCTCCTCCCTCCTTTTCCTCCTCATCACCATCACTATCACCATCACGTTCATCATCGCCCTCACCATCATCACCATCTGCACCACCATCATCATTAGCATCATCAGCATCACAATGAGAATTACTAATACCATCGCCATCATCGTCGCCATCATCATTACCAGCATCAACATCAGCATCAGCATCAGCATAAGCACCAGCATCAGCATCATCACTGATTAGTTGCATCATCTACATCACCACCACCACCATCATCATCAGCATCAGCATCATTAGTATCATCATCATCATCATCACCACCATCATCATCATCATCATCATCATCATCATCATCATCATCATCATCATCATCATCATCATCATCATCATAATCATCATCATCATCATCATCATCATCATCATCATCATCATCACCATCACCATCACCATCACCATCACCATCACCATCACCATCAGCATCACCATCACCATCAACAGCAACAGCATCATCAGCATCAGCATCATCATCGTCCTCCTCCCCTTCTCGCCTCCTACTCCTCATCATCATCCTCCTTTCTGTCCTCAACACTATCACCAACACTATTCGGCACATCATCAACAGCATCAGCAGTAGCAACATGAGCATCAGCATCATCAGCATCAGCACGAACATCTCCATTACCATCATCACCAGTGATGGTGTTTCACAACCACCATCAGCATCACGACAACCACCACAACCACCATAATCATCACTCCCTTTCCCACCCCCCGCGCCCGCGCAGAGGGGTGTTTGTGTGTGTGTGTGAGGGGGGGGGGGCAGGAGCACGAGGGAGGAGAAAGGGGCAGGAGAAGGAGGCAAAGGAGAGCCGATGCCTCTCGCGGAGGGGCTCCCCCGCCTGGCCCCTGCCGCAGGGGCGGGGGGCCCGAGCGGGGGTGAACAGCCATGCACGGCGCCTGCAGGCCTCGCGCAACGGCCAACGGCATGCAGCCCCACGACTGCAGGACCCACACGCGGCGACGAGACCTGCGCCTGCGCATCCGACTGGAAAGGCTACGAGGCTACCGGCACGCTGCCGAGACACTACCACCACGAGCGGGCCGCTGCTCGCGAGATTGCCTACTCCATGAGGAAGAAGACACACAATGACACCAAATACCTCGCTCTCCTTCTGAACACGCAGCGCCGCAGCTGGAACGACGAGAACGGCCAGCAGAGCCTCCACTGGAATGAGCAGCCCTCCAATAATTGGAAACAGCAGAACACCAACTGGGACACACAGAACTCCGACTGGAACTAGCAGCGCCCAGGCTGGAACCAGAAAAGCTGCGAGAACCACCAGCAGCGCAACAAACGAGAAGGGGGCCCAGGACTGCCTCCGCAGCTCAATCCACAGCGGGCACCTCGGAGGGGTACCCAGGGCGCCTCCCAAAACGATCGCCCCCCCCGAGAAGCCAGCATACCCGAAGACGGGGGAGGACCCGGCACAAGCCAAAAGAACACGGTCCGCGGGACAGCAGAAGGCGGGCCAGAGTTGATGGGCCAATTCTCCAGCACCACTACCACAGGTAGGACGGGAGAGAAGGGAGGATGGGCAGATCCTCCTCCTCCTCCTCCTCCTCCTCCTCCTCCTCCTCCTCCTCCTCCTCCCTCTCCAACCTATGGTGGTGGTGGTGGTGGTGGAAAATCGGCCCGTCAAGAGTGAGGCGCCAGCCAGGAGAGGGCGCCTCCGCCCACGGGCCACCGCGCTGCCTGCCCGACAGCTGGGGGGCAGGCCTGGCCAATCTCGAGAAGCTCCACAATGAGGCTCTCGCAGCGGTCGCGAGGCCCTGGCGCGCCGAAGAGGCGTCCCAAGGCAGGTCGCCGAGGCCCAGGAGAAGGATTGCCGCGACTACAGGCGCGAGATCGAGGCCCAGCACAACGACGGCCCCGCTGCCGAGGACGCACACTACCCCGAGGCACCATGCCTGGACACCGACCTTGAGGCCGTTCAGGCCGGCCGGGACCACGACCGCGCGGTCGCCAACCCACGCCTGCGACCAGCTGCGGGCCACCCTCCGGACGGGCAACGGCCGCCACCCGTCGAGCGCCCCCAGGGCGGACTACCGACACACACACACACACACACACGCGCGCGCGGCTCTCCTGGGGGAACCGCGCCAGGGCAGGGTTGAGGGCTGCCCCCGTTTCCTCCCTCCCTCCGCCCCCTCTCCCCCTCCCGGCCCGTCCTTCCCCTGCCCTCGCCTCCCTCTCCCCTCTTCCTGTCTCATCCCCCGTCCCTTCCCGCGTCCTCGCCCCCGCCACCTCGTCGTTTCGGGAGTGGCCCCCTGCCCCGTCCCCCTGGCTTGGCACCCCCTCTCCCCCCCTCCCAGGCCCCCGGCGCCTCTCCCTGGAGGTCACCCCCATATATACGGCGCCTCCTCTGGGGTCCTCCTCCTCCTCCTCCTCCTCCTCCTCCCCTCTCCTCCTCCTCCTCCTCCTCCTCCTCCGCCCTCCTCCTCCTCCTCCTCCTCCTCCTCCTCCTCCTCCTCCTCCTCCTCCTCCTCCTCCTCCTCCTCGCGCTGTGCTGCTCTTCCTGGCTGCGCCTCCCCTCCCGTCTCGCTCCTCCTCCTGCTGCCCCTCTTCGGTTCGCCCGCTCTTCGCTCTCCCTCTGAGGACCCCCCCTTTTCTTGCACGGGGCGCCAAGCGGCCCGTCCCACCCCACTCTAGCTGTTTCACCCCCCCCGGGGGCAGCAGCCCCTGGGGGGGAGAGGCCGCGTTCGACGAACCCTAAGGCCACCAGCAACAGCAACAGGAGGAGGAGGAGGAGGAGGAGGAGGAAGAGGAGGAGGATTACTCAGACCTCCGATGTTTTGATTGTTCCACGGCGTGGCTCCCCAGACGTCTGGCCCTCAGTGGCAGCCACCGCCTCCTCGTGCGAACGTGCACGCGCTGCGGCGCCATCGCTCCCGCTGCAGGGATCAGGCGCGTGGAGGGAAGAGGAGGAGCGAGCGGACGACGAGGAGGACGACGCGGAGGACGAGGACGACGACGGCGGCGAGGACGGCGGCGGCAGCAGGCGGAGATCCAGCCGTGAAGCGGGCAGAGAAACGCCGAGTGCGCTCCTCGAGAGGTCTGCGCCAAGGACCTGCCGCAGCTCGCCGACGCCGATGCAGAGGAGCTCGGAGCGGGCGTCGCACAACTCGGCGAGACGCGCGCTGCGACGACGACGACGACGACGACGACGACGACGACGACGACGACGACGACGACGACGACGACGACGACGAAAGGGGCGAAGGCGGCGACGACGGCGACGGCGACGACGACAACGACGGCGACGGCGACGGCGACGGCGGCGGCGTTGGGGGCGATTACGACTACGACGGCGACGACCTCGCGTCCTGTTCCAGCTTGAACAGAGAAACCAAACACTGCATGAACTCAGCTCCTCGGAGGGCCGCGGGAGTTTCCTGGATCGGCGCTGGACACCCTTGGCCCGCGCGCGGAGAGCGCGGGGGGCGGCGCCGGAGGCGCCGCCACAGGCGGCCCCGCGCTGATCCAAGAAATCCGCAAGGAGCTCCGAGGAAGTCTGCTGATGCCGATGGCTGCGCTTCGCTGGGGGGGGAAGCGGCGACGGCACCTCGGCTGCGCGCAAGGAGCGACGTCTAGGCACCGTACGGCACCAGCCGTGGGAGGCCCACGGCTACGCCGGCGACGGCGACGGCGGCGACGGCGACGAGGCCCGCAAGAGCCGGCGGGGCGACCGCCACCCCGTGCACCCCCAGGGGAGCGGCCGGGACCTCCGAGGCCGCCGATGGGGCGACAACGCGTCGGCGGATGCCAGGGGGCGCGTTGCCGCCGCCGTCGGTCGGAGCGGGGCGGCGGGCGGAGGGGGAAGGGCGAGAGAGACAGGAGGGGGGCGAGGAGGCCCAGATCGCAGATTCCCCCCTTTTCTGGGAGGCCCAGATCGCCGTCTCCTGGCCCTGGCCGCCTCCCCGGGCACCCGGCCGTCGAGCAGAAGGCCCTGCCGACGCCGCTAGGGCCCCCGCCACGGAGATCCTGCTGTCGCCCATTCCGTACAGCGCCGCGCTCTTGCCGAAGGAGTCCCCCGGGCTGAGACGCGACACCCTCCGGCTGGGGGGGGACCGAGGGGCAGCGGAGGGCCCAAGATGTAGCGGAAGACCTCATACTCTCCCATGCCATCTTGCTGGCTCTTGTGGATCGACGCTAATCGGCGCTGGTCGACCTTCATCGACGCTAACTCGGGGCTACATCATCGACTACCAGACGCCAATCGCCGTACGCCGTATGCTGTAGCGCGTGGGCCAAGCAGAATGACAGAACGCGCACTCGCTGAAGCCGCCGTTCTGCTGTCGCTCTAGAGTGCTGAGGTGAGGCGACGGTGCAGGCAAGCTAAGACAAGGTTAGTTGCGCAACTGGCTGCATGTGTGATAAGATATGGTGTCATGTGCAGACAAATATGTATCCAGCCAGAGCTGGCTGAATCCAAGACCATATGTTAGCCAGCGCGGACCCCAAACCGTGTGTTCTACCAGATTATAAGCAATAGCAATCTACGCGGTGGAATATATGTGGTGCAATATCCGCCGATGCGGCGTGTGAGTTTCAGGGGGAAGGGGTGACCCGGGTGGCTCTGCAGGGGTAGGGGGAGAGGGGGGTCCGGTGGCGTGGCTTCCGGTGGCGTGGGGGGGGGCCCGGTCCCGTGCCCCGCCTGTAGACAAGGGGAATTGGGGGAAGAGGACGGGGGGGGTCCGGTGGCCGGGATGGCTCTGCCTGGGTAAGGGAGGGGGTGGTCCGGTGGCGTGGGTTCCGGTATGAAGGGGGGGGAGTCCGGTCCCCCGTCCCGCCTGTGGACAAGGGGAATTGGGGAGAGGGGTGGGGGGGGTCCGGTGGCGTGGGTTCCGATGGCGCGGTGGAGGGGAAGGGGGAATTCCGTGGCGTGTGAATGTGCAGGAGCCTCAGCTGCAGCCCCGAGGTTGGGCTTCAGCCTCTGGGGGGGGTCCGGGGGGGCTCTGCCGGGAAAGGAGGGGAGGGGGGGGCGCGCGCGTGCGCGCGGGGAAATGTTTGTCCGTGTGCGCGAGAAGGGAACCTGGGAAAACGGGAGAGAAGTGGAATGTTACAAGAGCGGAAAACGGGGAACAAATAGGGGAAAAACGAAGGTGGCGGTGAAATGCGCGTCTGATGTGTAGTGTGTGTGCGTGCGTGTTTGTGCGGTGTGCGTGGTGTGTGTATGTGTGTGTTGCTGGCATGTGCGTGCGCATGTACCTGCGAAGGTGGCGCGCGTGTGTGTGTGTGTATGTGTGTGTGTTTGGTGCGTGTGTGTGTGTGTGTGCCTGTGGGTGTGTCGTGTGTGTAGTGTGTGTAATGTGTGTAGTGTGTGTAGTGTGTGTGTGTGTGTGTGTGTGTGTCCGTGTGTGTCTGTGTGTGTCTGTGTGTATTGTGTGTGTTGTGTGTGTGCGAGTGTGTGTGTAGTGTGTGTGTGTGTGTGTGTTGTGTGTTGTGTGTTTGTGAGTGTGTGTGAGTGTGTGCGTGTGTGTGTGTGAGTGAGTGAGTGAGTGAGTGAGTGTGTTTGTGTGTTTATGTGTGTGTGTTTGTGTGTGCCTGTGTATGTGTGCGCGCGTGCGCGTAATGTCTGCGGATGTGTGCGTGCGTGTCTGTCGGCGAAGTGTCGCGGACCAGTCTGGGGAGCACCCCAAGCGACCCGGATCGGCGGCACTGGCCGCAGGCCACTAAGAGATGTGCTGCAATGTCCGTGGCGCATTTTCGCGGTGCAATATATGTAGTGATACATATATATACATATATATGGCGAAACATATCCATGGCAGTATAAGCAGTACAATATATGTGGCAAGTTCTATGCAATGCACTCGATGCGGCGCAAACTATGGGGCAATCTATGTTGTGAACAGCTCTACGCAATGCAATGCATACTGTGTAATCAACGTGATGCAACCTAGATGGAACAATGTATTTGGTGCAGCCTAGCCTATGTGGTGTGATATGGGTGGTGATATGTATAGATATGCAATGTAATATTGCTGTGTAATCTATGTGGTGCAATATATGCAATGCAATTCACTTTGACTGTCTTGAAGCTGTCCTCTCCACTGCTCGTGCAAACATCCCACCCTCCCACCCGCAACTTGGTCGCAAGACCTCCTAAGATCGTAACGGTAGGTAACAAATGGCACTTGTAACCGACGCCGACAACAACAGCGACAACGACGACGACGCCGACTACGACGACACCGACGACGACTCCGACGACTTCGACGACGACGATAACGACGACATCGACGACGACGACACCGACGACGACGACGACGCCGACGCCGACGACGACGACGATGAAGACGCCGACGACCTCGACGACGACGATAACGACGACGACGACGACGACGACACCGACGACGACGACGACGCGGACGCCGACGACGACGACGATGAAGACGCCGACGACGACGACGACGACGAAAACGACGCCGACGCCGGCGCCGACGACGACGACGCCGACGACGACGACGACGACGACGATGACGACGACGACGACGAAGACGACGACGACGACGACGACACCAACGAAAACGACGACGACGACGACGACGACGAGGGATGAGGGAGGACGACGATGGCGACAACGACGAAGGAGGAGGGAGGAGGGCGACAACGACGACGACGACGACGACCACGACGACGGCGACAAAATAGGAGGGACGACGACGAGACGCCGACGACGGACGACGACGAAGACGAGGGAGGAGGAAGGACGACCACGGCGACGACGCCGACGGAAACGACGACAACGCCAAAGAGGACGACGACGACGACGACGACGAGGAAAGACAGAGGACGACGACGGCGACGACGACGACGAGGGAGGAGGGAGGACGGCGACGACGACGACGACGACGACGCAAGAGCGCGCGCGCACGCTTTTGTTGAAAATCCGTGCTGCGAAACCTCTTGTTTTTGTATACTTTTTGGACACCTGATTTTGAAATCCTTCCGAAACCGAAGGTTTTTGACGGATTCCGGCATGCGCGCGCGACGACGCGCGCGTCTGCACTTCGTCCCGTTTTTTGCAGAGGATTCTTGCGACGGCACGCGCGCAAGGGCGTTCGAAAGATTTCGACATGAGCGCGCGCGTAGCCCGTTTGGTAGGATGTCTTGAAAATCTTGAAAACTGGGAAATACGAATCCATATGTAGGATGGACGATGGGGCAGAACCATATGTAAATTGCACTACGTAAAAGTGTACCGTTAATTCTGGGGGGGGGGGGTCGAATCCATTCTTCTTTTAGAAAAGAAAATATATGTGGTGCAACCTGAGTGGGGCAATCTACGCAGTGCAATCCATGCGGTGCAATCTGAAAGGTGCAATATATCCCGTGCAATCTAGTGGTGTACACTTCGCGGCAGCGGCAATTGGCGGCGACGATGACAACAAGCGCGGCGAACGCCAGCCAGGCCCAAAAGCAGCGGCACGGGCGACGACGGCGACAACAAGAGCGCCAGACCGCCAGCCAGGCCCAGTTCCATTGACCAGAAAGAAGTAGGACCCCCTAAGTGCAAGCACTGTTTGGGGAACTTTCCTGGCTCTCTCCGAATATTCCCAGACATCCAACGCCTCGAGAAACTTAACGCCTCAGGGGGCCCTCGCCAGGCCCGAGGACTGGCAGAAAACAGCTCGGGATGAGGAGCCAGCCCGGGGGAAAGGATCCAGATCGTCGACCTCGGGGGACCCCGCATCGAGAAACTCAGGACATCGGATGTACAGTTCGGGCGCGGCCGCAAGAAACCCTGGCAAGAAACCCAACCCTGAAAACCCGCGCGCGAGGTGCACCAGAGGGCAAAACCAGAGCACCTCGAACGCGGCAGCTTCTTCAGCGGCTGCGGGAAGTCACCGCGCAGCGCGCGGAGCGAAGAAACCCAGGATACCCAGACGAAAAGCAGATGGTTTCTTGATGCGCGCCCCCACTGTGCGGGCTCTGCTCCCAGCGTCTCTTTTCTGCTTCGCAGTGTCGGACTCCGGGGGGCGCGTTCGAACGCGGCCCGACCGACCCCTTCCGCGACGAGCCCCTCGCCTCCCAGCGCCTCTTTTCTAGACAAGGGCGTCCCGCTACTCGCAAAGTAGCTACTCTCACATGGCCTGCATCCGCCGCAGGGGGATCTACGATATATTACACAGAGGCAGACGCATGGCTTTCCGGACGTTTGCGAGCAGGCACTTTGCGAGTAGTGGAACGCGCGCGGCGATGTTCTGCTTCGCAGTAGTGTTAGTCCTCCTAGATGGGGTCGGAGTAGATGGGGTCGAAGGATCGCGCTGCATCGCCGATGCACCGGCGATGCCCACGATGCATTGGCGCCGTCGACGTGGCGAAAGTCGGGCTCCGCATCGAGCCGCATCGCCAGTGCATCGAAGATACGGCGCGATCCTCCGACCCCATCTACTCGGACCCCATCTAGGAGGCCTAGAAGAGTCGGACGCCGGGGGGGGGGCGCGCTCAAACGCGGCCCGACCGGCCCCTTCCGCGACGAATGCCCCTCGCCCTCGAGGCTTCCCTCCGGCCGCCCGCCGACGCCTTGGAGCGAGGCGACGGCATCGTCACCGACGGGGGGGAGGAGAAGGAGAAGGAGGAGAAGGAGCAGAAGGAGGAGGAGGAGGAGGAGGAGGAGGAGGAGGAGGAGAGGGATGAGGAGGAGGAGGAGGAGGAGGAGGAGGGAGGAGGAGAAGGTAAAGGAGGATCGGGAGGAGGAGGGGGATGGGGAGGAGGAGGAGGAAATGGAGGAGGAGAAGGAGAGGAGGGGGAGGAGGATGGGGAGGGGGAGGGGGGAGGAGGAGACGAGGAGGTGGCGGAGGATGGGGAGAAGGAGGGGGAGGAGGAGAAGGAGGAGGGTAGGAGGGGAGGAGAGGAGGAGGAGGAGGAGGAGGAGGAGGAGGAGGAGGAGGAGGGGGAAGAGGTGATGAGGATGAGGAGGAGAAGGAGGAGGAGGAGGAGGTGAAGGAGGATGGGGAGAGGGGAGGGGGAGGGGGAGGCGGAGGGGAGGAGAGGGGAGGAGGGAAGAAAGAGGAGAAGGAGGAGGAAGAGGAGGTGGAGGAGAAGGAGAGGGAAGGAGGAGGAGGAGGTGAAGGATGATGATTGATGATGATGATGATGATGTGATGATGATGATGATGATGATGAGATGATGATGATGATGATGATGATGATGTGATGATGCTGATGATGATGATGATGATGATGATGATGATGATGATGAGGAGAGGATGGATGATGAGGAGGAAGGAGGAGGCGGAGGAGGAGGTGAGGAGGAGGGGGAGGAGGGGAGGAGGTGAGGAGGGAGGAGGAGGAGGAGGAGGAGGAGGAGGAGGAGGAGGGGAGGAGGAGGTGAGGAGGAGGGGAGGAGGGGGAGGAGGGGGGGGAGGCGGAGGAGAGGAGGAGGAGGAGGAGGAGGAGGAGGAGGAGGAGGAGGAGGAGGAGGAGGAGGAGGAGGAGGGAACGCCACATTCACCTGCATCAGGTCTGCGCGACGTCGAAAAAGGGGAGGAGGAGGAGGAGGAGGAGGAGGAGGAGGAGGAGGAGGAGGAGGCCCAGGCCAACAAGGACCTCGGGGGGGTTCGAGGCCAGCTTCTTTATCCTGGGCCGTTTTTTGACGGCCCTTGGGAGATCCGCTCTCGCCACGGTAGGCCCCAGAACAGGGGAGACTCAGGGAGGAGGGCCAGGGGAGCAGCGAGGGAAGCACGATTCTGCCTCCCACTCCTCCTTTTCTCCTGATCCCTCGTCTCAGTCCCTGGTTCTCCAGCCGCCCCCGCCCCAAAGTTTCCTCTTCCTGCAGCGATAAACAGACCACCCCCAGTGACATCTCGCAGTGGCGCGCACTTGCCTGGAGGGTAATTACCTGCGCCAAGGGACACGCTCGGGCGAGCGCTAACACGAATTACGGACCCATGGATCTGGCTCGTGGGCGCCAGGTCCACGAACTGGGGAGGGCGCCCCCGAAGTGCCGCCAGGTGGGGCGACGGAGCGCGCCGACTCAGTGCTCCCCCGACATGCGGACTGAACAGCCCCACCCGCCGCACCGACCCCATCGCCCCCTGCGGGGTGGAGCTGGCCCGGAGTCGCTTGTGAGCCCGCCCCTCCGATGTCGGGTCGGGGACTCGCTGACGTCAATGCAGACCCGGATCAGTCAGGCCTTGCAGGATCCTGCAAGCTCCCGCAGGATGCTGCAGGATCCTGCGCCCGAGCCGTGGTCGGCACGCCCCTGGCCCTGCAGGCTCCTGCAAGATCCGGCTCCCTGACTGACCCCCGTTTGCATCGACCCCCGCCTCGTGAGCCCCGACGATCCCTCTCGGGGGGAGCCGACGGGCCACGCGCCAGCGCGACCCTGAAGGGCAAGGCGCGCCAGCGCGACCTCGTGGTGCGCGGGGGCTGTCGGGGGGCAGCGGCGAGGGCCACAGCCGAGCGCGCCAGCCACTGCCTGGGGGCACCCCGGGCCCGGCACCACAGAAGGGCCACGGAGGCGAAGGGCCACGCTGGCGCGCAGCTGGCTCTCGCGCGCGCGCCCCAGTCCCCATCCGATCGGATCCCCCACCCCGCGCGAGCGTTTTCATACTCGGAGTCTCGACATTGGGCGGAAGGGGGGGAAGGGGGCAAGGGGGGGCGTCTGGCTCCGGACCTCTGCTGGATGCGACTCTTTGCAACGGTGCGTCCTGCGGGGGAGACCCCACCTGCTCGAGACAGGCGCCGAAAAAGTAGCCAAGATCTACTCCATGGGGGGGAGGGGGGGGGGTGCGATGGGCCCACGCCGATCGGCACAACAGTGAAGGAGAAAACGATGCTCATAGACTCTCTCGAGCCGCGGGCAGCCACTCAGGACGACTCGGACCTCCCCCGAGTGTCGGGCCCCCGAAGGACGCCAACGAGGCGCAGCTGGTGGAAACCACCACGAGACCCCAAAACTGTTGATACATGGGGAACCGTTGCCAAACATCCGAGGTCCCGATTTGTTCCCTGCGCGGTCCCCGGGGGCCCCGACACCTTCACCAGGACTGGTCCTTCCTGGTGCGTCGTTCCTTTGACGGTCCCGGGCCCGGCGAGGGCCCCTGGAGGCCGAAAACAGCCAGACACCTCTGGCCGTGGTCTTTCACGACGCGAGCAGGTCTACCATGGGGTTTTCGCAGGCACCCAGGAAGAGCTCCCGAGAAGACCGCGCTCGGGGCTGAGCCGGGCGGGGTGCGAAGAGCCCGGGCGGCGGAGCGCAGGCGTGCGCCTGCTGCCGCTGCCCGGCACGGCGCACCCTGCGTCGTCCACCTCCAGGCCACTGAAGACGCTGAGCGCGCCCTCCTGGCGCCGAGGGGGCGGCACGAAGGCTGCGAATTCGCCCACGGAGCCCCTCGTTGCCCATCGGCCTTGGGCGGTCTTCGGCGGTCCTCTGGCGGTCTTCGGCGGTCTTCGCACGGTCTCGGGCGGCGTTCGGTGGTCTTCTGACGGGGCCAGCGCGATCCACTACTCGCAGTGTAGCTGCTTGCACGTGGCCTGGATCCACCGCGAGGAATCCACGGTCCGTTACATCGAAGCACGTTTTTGTTCCGGACGTTTGCGAGGGGGCACTTGGCAAATCCTGGAACGCGCTCGGTGACGGAATGTCTCCGACGGTCTTCGGCGAGAAAGCTGGATGGCTGCGTTCAGCAAGCGATCAATGATCGAACGCCCCACGAAGAATTTCGCTTCATTTCCCAAACAGTGCTTGCACTTAGGTGTTCTCACTGGTGCTCTAAAGGAACCGGGCCGTGTGGGCGGTCTGGCGGCACCGTGCCGGCCGTCGCCGCCCCATCGCCGCCTCGTCGCCACCCGTCACCTGAGCCGCGGCTATGTGCTGCACCGCCGCATTGCACCACATCGATTGCACCAACCGAAAAGTCCCGCCTGCGGCGCACTTTTTGATCGCTCACATCGCAGCTAGCACCGCACATTTTGTACAGCATAAGCTGTCCCCCAGGAGTCGCGCAACATGTATAGCGCAAACACAGAAAGGTTGTGTCATATGGACCGCGCGACATGGTTTGTACACTACATATTGCGCAAATACATCGATGGCACAACAGGCGCTCTCCTTGTATATTATACAAGGATGATGCCCCCTGTGGATGTGCATCGTGCATGCGATTCTGCCCTTTCGTCCATTCGAAATATGAACGTCTATGATTACAGCTAAACTGGGTTCGACCCCCCAACCATCCACTGCAACAAAATATGCGAGCGCACTCGTTGATCCCAAATCATCCATGTTCGAAAACCCGCCGGAACAAAAGCGAATGCATGCGCGCGTCATCGCGCACGCATGCCGAAGTATGTTTGATTGTTTATTGTTTTTATCAAGAAATGTCGCAAAAATGTCAAAACCGAACGTCCCGAAAACAAATGAAGACACATGGATTTGCAACATCCGTTTTCAAAATGAATGCGCGCGCATGTTTGCGAAGTCTTGAGAAGACCACCGGTTTCTCAACATGTCCATCCAATTCGACCAAAATAGGCCTCTCGCGCGCGCATCTCAGAATCATTCGAACGCCCTTCCGCGCGTGTTTGGGGCACGATCCTAATCAAATGATACCACGCGGGCCACTCGCGCCCGTCGGCCGCGCGCGCACGTCGAAATCCTCCAAAGATCTTCATTACCGACGCGTGGACACCATCGTCTTCGGCGTGAGCAGTACCGACGCCGTCATGCGCCTTGCCGTCGTCATCGACATCGTCGTCATTAGCATCGCTGCAATCATCATCGTATCTGCCGTTGCCGACGTCGCCATGATACCGCGACCGCCCAACCCACCGACTCGCACTGAAGCGCCCGCGCGTCAGCGCGGCCTGTGGGACGTGCTGGGAAGTCCCCAACGGTCAGCGCCACCGCGCCGCGTCGGTCTCGCCAGGCTAGCTGGCCACTCTGCGCACGAGCTTGCGCACGCTAGCGCGGCCGCAACGATGCGCCGGCCAGCGGCAAGCAGGCATCACACTGGGTGGGTGGGTGGGTGAGTGAGGTGACTGCGCGAGCAGCGGAGTTGACAACTCACTAGTGAGCCCTGGTAAATTGCACAACGCAGATTGCATCACATCCGCGACCGTGCCGCTGGGCACGGAGTGGGCGTGTCCTCAAATAATTGAGTGGTTTGCCTAATTGCCTGGGCCTCAGTCCTCACCCCTGGGGAGTTTTCAAAGGGCCTGGAACACACATTGCGAAATCTCTCGGTGTGTTTCGCGTCTGATCGGGGGCTTGTCGCGTCTCCCCACGTGACTTGTTTGGGCTCAAGAGGGCCTCAGGACGGGCCAATGAGGGCCCCACGAGGCCCCCAAGACGGTCCAAGAGGGCCCCGAGTCGCCGAAAGATCCCTCCAAGACGCCCAAGATGTCCTCAAGATGGCCCAGGAGGCCTCGAGGAGGCCCCCGGAGGCCTCCAGGAGACCCCCCAAGAGGGCCCCAAGAGGCAGCAGTCATTGATTGCCCCCAGGTGATTGAAAGATTTGGGCGGTCCCGCTTTGCTTCTGCTTTCCTTTCCGACGCTCCAGGGCGGCCCAACAGGCCCACAAGACCACCCGAGACAGCTACAGGAGATGGATGACCCCGCTCGGAGTCCAGCACGGAAATGTGGACCCCATAGGGCGGGGCTCCCTCTCGAGACGTCCTCGCGATCCACTCACCGGGGTGGCACCCGCTCGAGGCTTCCTCCGTACTCAGTTCTCGGGAGCCCAAGCGTGAGTACATTTACACAAGATCTGGATGGAGGTGGGGACCCCATGGGGGAAGGCTCCTGCTCGAGACTTCCTCGCGCTGCACTAACGGACGAGACACCCGCCCGAGACGTCCTCCAGAATCCAGCCTGGGGAGCCCACAGGTGACAACAGCTACGACCCCGCCCGATTCCAACAGGAATGAGGGGACCCCATATGGAGGGTACACGTGGCTCATTTCTGATCGTACTCATTTCTCATTGTGCTCGTTTCTAATTGTTCCTGGCCCCCTAGTGGCCAGGAAGAGGCCCAGGATAGAAGAATTAGAAATGAAAGGATCTTGGCCCCCAAAAAATCAGAGAACTCTCGAATGCTTAGAAATGAACAGAAATTAACCATGTGTAGGTTCAGGCCGGGGGGGCCCAAAGGTGACGACAGTTACAGGAATTCGATGACTTCGCTTGGATTCCAGCGTGGAGGTGGGGACCCCATGGGGAGGGGCCCCCGCTCGAGACTTCCTCGCCGGGCACTCACAGGCGTGGCCTCCGCTCGAGACTGATGATGGTGCTGGTGCCGGTGCTGGCGCTGGCGCTGGCGCTGGTGCTGGCGCCGGTGCTGGCGCCGGTGATGAGGATGAGGATGCTGATGATCAAGATGCTTCTGATGATGAGGAGGAGGATGAGGACGAGGATGCTGATGGTGATGGTGGTGATGCTGATGCTGATGATTATGGTGACGATGCTGATGCCGATGCTGATGATGAGGATGCTGATGCTGATGATGGAGATGCTCCTGATGAAGCCGATGATGGGGATGATGATGATGATGCTGATGCTGTTGATGCTGCTGCTGATAATGCTGATGCTGATGCTGATGCTGATGCTGATGGTGATGATGATGATTATGATGATGCTGATGAGGATGCTGATGATGATGATGAGGATGAGGATGCTGACGATGATGATGCTGCTGGTGATGATGGTAATGGTGAAGAGGATGATGATGATAACGATGCTGCTGATGACAATGATGATGACGATGCTGATGGTGGTGATGATTACGATGATGATGATTATGCTGGTTATGATGTTGCTGATGATGAGGAGGATGAGGATGATGCTGATGATGATGATGACGATGACGATGATGATGATGATGATGATGATGATGATGATGATGATGATGATGAATGATGATGATGATGATGATGATGATGATGATGATGATGATGATGATGATGATGATGATGATGATGATGATGATGATGATGATGATGATGATGATGATGATGATGATGATGATGTGTTCCTCCGCTCATGCGCGGGGTGTCCAGAGGAAGCAAGAACGCCACGCAGGACGAGAGGAGCCACAGTTCACCATACACTGCACCCTTCTGGCCACAAATCCGCATCGTTCAAAGCAGTCCCAGGGGACTACTTTGAACGTTGCCATTCTTTAAAGCATTCCCAGGGGACTGCTTTCAAGCGTCCTCATTATAAGGGATTCTGGATTACACTCGCGGAGGCCCTCGCGGATCTCCTGAGACGGCGCTGGACCCCTCTGCCCTGGCGCGCGGAGCGCACCAGGGCCGATGCTGGAGGCCCCGCCACAGCAGGGGGGGGGCTATACTCAAGTCGGGCCTGTCCCCCTACAGGGGGATCTTCGACGAAAAATAAAAAATACAAAAAATACTTCAAAATTGTCAAACATTACTTTAAAAATAGTCCCCAGACTATTTTTTTACTATTTTTGAATGTTCCCCCTGTAGAGGGACAGGCCCGACTTAAGGCTATACCGAAAGCGAGCGTTCATGGCGCTTTGGGTCCTTCTGAGTGCTTCGCGCATCGCGCCCCGCGATGCGCGATCTATCACCGCCCTCTCGGAGAAGGGCGGCCCAGTGGCCCTGGCCGCGACGCGCGGTCATCCTTGCGCACCTGGGGGTGACTTGGGTTCTTCGACACCGGGAGGCGATTCCATCGCTCCCGGCAAGGCTCCACAACCCATGAGATGCACTCAGATCAGAGCTCCACAGGAGGCCCCTCGGGCGGCCCCGAGGAGGGCCGGCCCTTTCGACCCACAACCCTCTCGGGGGGCCCTGCAAGCAGGGCGCCTCACAGCTTTCGTCGAGGTGTTTTGTCTCCTCCTGCCCCGCCAGTTGCTCATCCTCCTGCCCCCCACCTGTCGCTGGCCAGAGCGAAGCAGATCACAACACGCATTGCACGGACCATGGCACGCCCTATACCACATGTGATGCACAGCGGTAGCACGCTCGCACAAAGTGAAGGCGAAACGGAGTCTCATGCAACATGATGCATGATCGTGCTGGTCAAATTCAGGCCATACCTCAAGAACTGACTCAACCAGACTAGACTGCTCAGAAACATACCTGGCGAAAACGGGGCATGCAAGAGCAGACCAGGGGAGAAGGAGAATGAGCCAACGATATGTCCGCAAATGTTTCGCCCGACGAACGCGGGCGCACACATAGGTGTAATAATCAGATCACAGAAGAGCCGACCATGCGGTACTAGACTTACTAGATCAAACTGAGAGCAAGCCAAACTAAAAAACAACCAAGGCTGGACCAGAACAAGCTAGATGAGAAGAATCATGAGTCCGAATACCTCCGAGATGGCGAACAGAGGACCAGCAACATCTGTTTTGTGTTCCTCGTCGCCGGAAGCTCCCAGGACGCCCCACGAGGCTCTGGAGAGAAACCCAACACAACCCTAGAGGCACCCCCTGCAGCGACGACAATGCAGCAACGATTCTGGCAAAGTCCTTGACGAACCGTATCGCGCGGACTTCCTCCCCCTGGAGTTGCACCAGCGAGCCCGCCTGTTGGAAAGAGCGCATGAGTTGAGAAGTGGCAGCAAGAGGACGGATAATGGGGGAGTGAATTTTGCCGACCGCTCTTGATTCCTTGCGGACCTGCTTCAATTGGGCCACAGGACAACTGCTCGCAAGAGCAAAACGCGAGAGGCGGTGGGGGGAGGGGGGGAAACGGTGGGCGGTGTGTTGGGTGCTTGTTTTTGCGGGGGAAGGGTGTGGCTTGGAAAGGCGATGGAAGAGGGCAAAATGAGAAAGACGGTCGGAGTGCGAGGAGGGTGTGCCAGCGTCGGCAGATATATGACCTGAGGCGCGCCAACATGCGCACAGAGCAGGTCCTAATCCTTGAATTGGTGGGCGGGAGGGCGGCGGATGTCGCAACTCACCTGTGTGAGGGTCGGAAGGAGATCGGGACTCCTGCGTTTATGTCATAGGTTTTTTTTCGCTCCTCAGGCAGGCCTGGGGTTTAGTGGTGGGGGCGGTTAGAGGATTCATTGGCCAGTCCCTCTGCTCCTCCTCCTCCTCCTCCTCCTCCTCCTCCTCTGCCTCCTCCTCATCCTCCAGTCCTCTTCTTTTCGATTCACGCTGGCTTCGGCAACTCAAGCACGCACTAGTCACTTACCAGATGACCGTGGCGCCCTTCGTATCGGCCACCACCGCATCGGCGATACTTGAACCCACCACAATGGTCTTCGTTCCGTCGCGCGACTGCAGCCAGCCGCACCCACCCCCCGAACCTCAGACCACTCAGCCGATTCTCAAGCAGACAGAGGGGCGGGGGCACAGCCACCGTGCTACCACCGGAAAGGCCGAAAAAGGAACGAAGGGACTGTGCTCGCCACGGCGAGCCTCGGCCGCGAGTGGGTTTCCCCACCCAGATACAAGAAACGGTCCGAAACTCCTCCTCCTCCTCCTCCTCCTCCTCCTCCTCCTCCTCCTCCTCCTCCTCCTCCTCCCCCCACCAATGGGGTGCCGAAAAACAGATCGCCCATCCTGCTCCTAAAGCGGTCCTCATATTTCAACGTCTGGACTATGCGGCAACATCCTTCTGGGACGACCGGCCCTGGCTTTTGACACCGCGCGAACCGTTCAGCGCCGAGCGCCCTCCGCTCCCTGAACGACCCCCCGAGATTGCTGTTGTACTGGTGGTCGTTACCCGGGAGGAGGGGGCCAGTAACGGTAACGCTTGGGCTAAGTCGGGCATGTCGGATTTCGAAAACATTGGAAAAATGTTCAGTCAAACATAATTTAGAAACTCTGCTATTTTTGACAATTTTTGAAAAGTCCTCCTGTAGAAGGACATGCCCGAGCTAACGCTTGGGCGGGGTGGAGTAGCTGCGCAAAGCCTGTGAGCGCTGGCAGGGCGTCTGCGAGCACTGGCAGGCCCCGCCCGAAACGCACGATCGTTGCCGTTACAGGGGCGTGGGAGGTGGGGGGGGCGACTGGCCCAGGCAGCGACTGTGACGCGCCAGAGGATAACAAAAACCGCCTCCCGAGACACGGGGGCAGCGCGCCACCGGAACCACATCGACGACGCACCCTGGGGGTGTCCTGCGCATGCCAAGAGCCGTCGGAACACCGAAGCCAGTTTAGTGCTAACTGGTTGTGGTCGATGTGGCGCCCCGGGACGGCGAAATCGACCCCAACCACAATCAAAATGCTCGTGCCGAGGTCAGTTGTGGTTCTCCCGCGTGGGGCTCGGTTGTGGTTTGTGGTTATGGCCCCGTGCCGTGCCCGGACGAGGAGGCTCTCGACCCCCCGTCCTGTCGTGTGGACTTGGGCGCCGCGGCCGCTCAGCCTTGAGAGACCACCCCGCGCGCGCGCCGCCGCCGCGCCGGGGACGACGGCGTCGGCGACGAAGACGCCCAGCGTGGTCGGCGCCTCCTCCCCTGGCGGCTCGCACGAACTCCTGCCCCCCCCGCGCCCCCCTCCCCTTGGGGGGGGGCCGCGGCGGTCCGGGGGAGGCGGCCGCCGCGGCCCAGGAGGGCGGTTGGGGCCTCGTGCACCTCGCTGAAGAGCGCCAGCTTCCCCAGCTGCTGCTTCTGCCTGGCGGAGAAGCCGTCGAAGAGCCTCGCGCCCGGGGAGGGAAGGGCGGGGGGAGGGCCACCACCCTCGTCGTTGTCCTTGTTCTCGTCATCGTTGTCGTCGATGTCGTCGTCGTCGTCTTCGTCGTCGTCGTCGTTGTCCTCGTCCTCGTCCTCGTCCACGTCCTCGTCATCGTCCTCGTCCTCTTCGTCCTCCGCCTCGACCTCGTCGTCTGCGTCCTCGTCCTCCACCTCGTCCTCGTCCTCGTCCTCCGCCTCGTCCGCGTCCTCGTCCTCGTCCTCGTCGTTGTCGTCGTCGCCGTCCTCGTCCTCGTCCTGGTCCTCCTCATCGTCGTCCTCGTCGTCGTCCTCGTCGTGGTCGTCGTCGTGGTCGTGGTCGTCGTCGTCGTCGTGGTCGTCGTCGTGGTCGTCGTCGTCGTCCTCGTCCTCCGCACCGTCCTCATCCTCGTCTTCGTCCTCGTCCTGGTCGTCGTCGTCGTGGTCGCCGTCGTCGTTGTCGTCGTCGCCGTCCTGGTCGTCGTCCTCGTCCTCATCGCCCTCGTCCTGCGCCTCGTCGTCGTCGCCCTCGTCTTCCGCATCATCCTCGCCCTGGTCCTCGTCGTCGTCCTCGTCCTCGTCATCGTCGTCGTCGTGAGTCGTCGTCGTCCTCGTCCTCGTCGTCGTCCTCGTCCTCGTCGTCGTCGTGGTCCTCGTCTTCGCCGTCGTCGTCGTCGTCGTCGTCGTCGTGGTCGTCGTCGTCGACGTCCTCCGCATCGTCCTCGTCCTCATCATTCTCCTCGTCCTCGTCATCGTCGTGGTCCTCGTCCTCGTCGTCCTCGCCCTCGCACTCGTTCTCGTCCAAGTCGCCCTCGTCCTCGCCGTCGTCGTCGTCGGCCTCGTTCTCGTCCTCGTCGTCGTCGTCCTTGTCGTCGTCGTCCTGGTCCTCGTCCTCGTCCTCGTCCTGCGCCTCGTCGTCGTCGTCGGCGCCGTCGTCCTCGTCCACGTCCTCCGCACCGTCCTTGTCCTCGTCCTCGTCATCGTCGTCGCCGCCGCCATCGTCGTCGTCGTCGTCGTCCTCGTCGTCGTCGTCGTGATAGTCGTCGTCGTCGTCGTCGTCCTCGTCCTCGTCGTCGTCGTCGTCCTCATAGTCGTCGTCATCGTCATCGTCGTGGTCGTTGTCGTCCTCGTGATCGTCCATTTCGAGCTCGTCGTCGTCGTCCTCGTTCTGGTCCTCCGCATCGTCCTCGTCCTCGGCCTCGTCCTCGTCCTCGTCCTCGTCGTTGTCGTATTCGTCGTCGTCCTCGTCGTTGTCGTCGCCGTCGGCGTGGTCGCTGTTGTGGTCGTCGTCGTCGTCGTATTCGTCGTCCTCGTCGTCGGCGTCGTCGTCGCGGTCGTGTTCGTCGTCGTCGTCGTGGTCGTCGTCGTGGTCGCCATCCTCGTCCTTGTCCTCGTCCTGGTCCTCGTCGTCGGCGACGTGGTCGTCGCACTGGTCCCCGCCCTCGTCGTCGTCGTCGTCATGGTCGGCTTCCTCGTGGTCGTCGTCGTCGTGGTCATCCTCCTCGGTCTCGTCCTCGTCCTAATCGTCCTCGTCGTCTTCGACCTCGTCCTCGTCCTCGCCTCCCTCGTCATCCGCTTCTTCGTCCTCGTACTCGTCCTCCGCCTCGTCCTCGCCCACGTCCTCGTCAACGTCGTCGTCGCCGTTCTCGTCCAAGTCACCGTCTTCGCCGTCGTCATCGTCGTCGTCCTTGTCGTCGTCGTCGTCCTCCCCATCGTCCTCGCCCTCGTCCTCGTCGTCCTCGTCCTCGTCTTTGCCCTCGTCCTCGTCGTCGTCCAGGCTGCCGTCTTCGTCAACGTTGTCGTCGTCCTCGTCCTTGTCCTCGTCCTGCGCCTCGTCGTCGTCGTCGTGGTGGTCGTCGTCGTCGTCATCGTCGTCGTCGTCGCCCTCGTCCTCGTCCTCGTCCTCGTCCTCCTCGTCGCCGCCCTCGTACTTACGCCTCGTCATCGTCGTCGTCGTCGTCATCGTCGTCGTCGTCGCCATCGTCCTCGTCCTCGTCCTCGTCGTCGGCATCATAATCCTCCGCCTCGTCCGCGTCCTCGTCCTCTGCACCGTCCTCGTCCTCGTCCTCGTCGTCGCCCTCGTCCTCGTCATCGCCCTGGCCGTCGTCCTCGTCGTCCTTGTCGTCATCGTCGTCGTCATGGTCGTGGTCGTCGTCGTCCTCGTCCTCCTCCTCGCCCTCGTCGTCGTCCTCGTCCTCGGCGTCGTCCTCGTCCTCGTCGTCCTCGTCCTCGTCCTCGTCGTCGTCGGCCTCGTCCTCGTCGTCGTCCTCGTCCTCGTCGTCGTCGTGGTCCTCGTCCTCGCCGTCCTAATTGTCCTTGTCGTCGTCGTCGTGGTCGTCACGGTCGTCGTCGTGGTCGTGGTCGTGGTCGTCGTCGTCATCGTCGTCGTTATCGCCGTCCTCGTCCTCATCCTCGTCCTCGTCGGCCTCGTCGTCCTCGCCCCGTCATCCTCGTCCTCGCCATTGTCGTCGTCCTCGCCATTGTCGTCGTCTTCGCCCTTGTCGTCGTCCTCGTCCTCGTCGGTCTCGTCGGCCTCGTCGTCCCCGCCCTCGTCCTCGCCCTCGTTCTCGACCTCGTCATTATCGTCGTCCTCGTCCTCGTCGTCGTCGTCGTTCTCCTCCTCCTTGTCGTCGGCGTGGTCGTCCTCGTCCTAGTCCTCGTCGTCGTCATTGTCTCGTCCTCGTCGTCCTCATCGTCGTTTCCGTCGTCCTCAATCTCAACCTCCGCCTCGTCCTGGTCCTCGTCCTCGTCCTCGTCGTCGTCGTAGCCGTCGTCCTCGTCCTCGTCCTCGTCCTCGTCCTCATCGTCCTCGTCATCGTCCTCGTCGTCCTCGTCCTCATCTTCCGCCTCGTCCTCGTCCTCGTCCTCGTCCTCCAACTCGGCGTCGTCATCGTCGCCGTCATCGTCGTCGTCGTCGTTGTCATCCTCGTCGTCGTCGTCATCGCCGTTGTCGTCCTCGTCGTCGTCATGGTCGTCGTCGTCATCTTCCTCCTCGTCCTGGCGTTTTCATCGTCCTCGTCCTCGTCCTCGTCGTCGTCTTCCGCCTCGTCCTCGTCCTCGTCCTCCGCCTCATCCTCCTTCTCCTCGTTCGTCGTCGTCGTTGTCGTCCTCGTCCTCGTCCTCGTATTCGTCGTCGTCGTCGTCCTCGCCGTCGTCGTCGTCCTCGTCGTCGTCCTTGTCCTCGTCGTCGTCATGGTCCTCGTCCTCGTCGTCGTCGTCCTCGTCGTCGTCCACCTCGTCCTCGTCCTCGTCCCCCTCCTCGTCATCGTCCTCGTCGTCGTCGTTCTCGTTGTTGTGGTCGTCGTCGTCCTCCTCGTCCTCGTCGTCCGCTTTGTCCTCGTCCACGTCCTCGTCCTCGCCCTCGTCGTCCTCTTCGTCCTCGTCCTCGTCCTCGTCGACCTCGTCGTCGTCGTCGTCGTCGTCGTTGTCGTCGTCGTCGTCGTCGTCCTCGTCCTTGTCTTCGTCGTCATCGTCGTCGTCGACATCGTCGTCGTCCCCCTCCTTCTCCTCCTCCTCCTCCTCCTCCTCCTCCTCGCCTCCTCCTCCCTCTCCTCCTCCTCCTCCTTCTCCTCCTCTCTCCTCCTCCTCCCTCCTCCTCTCCTCCTACTCTCATCATCATCATCATCTCATCATCATCATCATCATCATCATCATCATCATCATCATCATCATCATCATCATCATCATCATCATCATTCATCATCATCATCATCATCATCATCATCATCATCATCATCATCATCATCATCATCATCATCATCATCATCATCATCCATCATCATCATCATCATCATCATCATCATCATCATCATCATCATCATCATCATCATCATCATCATCATCATCATCATCATCATCATCATCATCATCATCATCATCATCATCATCATCATCATCATCATCATCATCATCCTCTGCCTCCTCCGCCTCGTCCTCGGGGAGTGGCCCCCCCTTGCCAGGCCCCCTGGCGCTGGGTCCCTGTGGCTCGTCCTGCTCGGTGCCCCCTCCCCGGCCGAGGTCCCCTCGGGGCGCAGGCCCGCGCAGGCTCCCTCGGGCCTGCGACGCCGCGAGCGCCGCCCTCGCATGCGGAGGCCTCAGCGGCGGCACCCGCCGCCGCCTGTGCCGGGGGCGCGGCGTGGTGCAGGCGCCCGTAGGCGAGCCCCATACGCTGCCTCCGTGGCGCGAAGGCGCCCTTCGCCTGCTCCGAGAGCGCGAGGCCCCCCCCCCCCCCCCTGCCTCCTCCCCCCTCCGCGGCCGCCCTCTCCTGCCCCTCCCCCGCCTCCTGCATGCGGGACAGCCCGCAGCTCCGCAGCCCGCCCTCGCTCGGCGCGCGAGCGGACTGCCTCCGCCGCGCCGCGGCGAACAAGCTCGGAGAGCGCGAGGGGCGCAGGGGAGCGGGGGCCCGTCTGCTGTCGCGCGGGGCCCCGCGGCCCGCCCTCGGCGGCGCGCCGCACGGCGCACTCCAGCGCGGCCCGCACCGCTCTGGGGTGGCGCGGCCCTGGGCTGCCCTGCCGGCGGGGGCTGCTGGGGCCCGCCGGGCCCGCCCGCGGCGCGGGGCCCTCCACGTGTTCTGGCCGGTGTTGCTTCCCTGGGGTGATTTGCATTCGGGCTGGGGTGGCGAAGGCTACGCCACCCCTCCGCGGGCCCTTCAAGGGCTCCCTGCATTCACGGAAGCTGGAAGGGCCTTTCCCGCATGGTCCTGCCCTCATCCTCGTCCTCCATCCCCTCCTCCCCCTTCTCTTCCTCATCGTCCTGGGCCTTCTCTTCGTGTCGTCGTCCTGCTCCTACAGCCGCCCATGATAGTTATCCATCCGTGCCATTGTGGCGGCTGTCAGGCAGAGCCGTTCTGGTCCACCCGAGCGCAGTTGCACCAGCAGGGTAGTCAATCACGCGCGCTTCCGGCTGAAGGCATGAGCACGAGCGCCCAGCAGTGAGCATGGAGCGCTGGTGGGCATGCAGAGAACCACGGTCGTGGCAAGATCGGGGGTGGACAGACACCCCATCAGCAAAACGCCCCGTCATGAAAACGACCCGGGACTTGACTCGGTGGGCGCAGGCCTGCAAATTCTGCAGCCGCAACACCCTATCAAGAACCGACAAGGGCAATTCGGTAACCGACGTGGCAGGGTAGTGGTTGTGTCAACGTCCGGCAGCAGTCTGAGCCCCCTGGGCGAAGGTGGTACAGCGAGGAGTTGTGATCTTCCCTCTTCCAGAACCCCCCCCGTCCCCTGCTCCCTGGATGGGGTTGATCACTGCCCCTTCTTGATGTGCGCCCCCACCCGACCAGCGACAAGCCCGCGACAAAGCGGGCACACCCCCGCCATCCTTGGAGGCCTGGAAATGGGCACCAACACCAACACAGGGGTTTGCGTCCACAGGGGGAGGATGATCCTAGATGTTCGGTGTTGGGGGTAATATTTCGGCCACCCTGGAAGCCAGAACATTACCACCATCACCGAGATCGGGATCTTCTTCCTTCGGTGGAGGCACACCGCCGAAATTGGTGTTGGTGTCAACCTCTAGGCCTGCGACAGCCCTGCCCACAAACAAAAGCGACGTGCACTCTGCGGCAGCACCTGCACCGTGCGCGGGGGCGCCCCGTGGGCCCTCTGCGTCGCCTGCTTCCGGCGAGGACGGCGGGATGGTGCCAACATGGTGCCGGCCCGCTCTACGCAAACCTTAGGAGGCCACTTGCGAAACCTACCCCTACCCCCCACGATTTCTGAGGGGGAGGGTGGGGTTCACTTAATTCAGGAGTTCCCGAGCGAAGTGAACCCCACCCTCCCCCTCAGAAATCGGGGGGGCTAGGGGTAGGGTTCGCAAGTGGCCCCCTAAACCTGCCGTCCCTGTCAAAACGCAGTGCGCGCTGCACTTTCCGGCAACATCTGGACCATGCGCGGGCGCCCCATGATCACCTCGCACTTTTGGGCGCCCGAAATGGGCACGGAAGACATGGGCACAATGCCCGACAGCAAATGTTGTCTCAAACCAACAGCGGCCGCTGTTGGGCAGGCGGCCTTCTGCCTCAGATGGGCACAGGCCGCGGCGGCGCGGACAGCGGGGCCTGTTCAAAATGAGCAGGAACTGCTGTTGGGCATTGTACCCATTCCTTCCGTGCCCATGTCGTTCGTGCCGAGCACTAGTCATTGAAAGGGACGACGGCGGTGCCCTGCAAGTGTGCGCCCTGCGCAGGTCCACCACCACTGTCGGCACAGAGAGCAGCATGCACGGCGTGGCAAAAGCGGGCGCGTGCGCGAACGCCCCGCGGTCATCGTGCACTGGTCCCGGAAATCCACAGAACAGCACAGCTGGTTCCGCCTTCCGTCTGGGCAAGCGGCTTCAAGGGAGAACGATGTGTGAATTGGTGTTGGCGCTTCGGGCCCCACCATTATCAGTTGAAGCTCGGCGCTGCGCTTCCGACGGGACTCATGAATTCAGTGAGATCGGGGCCCCAGTCTCGGATGCTGCCTGTGTGTTGGGAGGGCGGGTGGGAATTAGCGGCACGGCTTGCGGCTTGGGGTAGCTCGACCCGTCCCCCATAAGCCACCCCCTCCCCTGAGTCCGGACGAGGGAGGGGTCCCGAGGGATGCGAGCGCCCAAGATTGCTGAAGAGAGGAGACACAAAACTGTAACTGCCTCAGGTTTCTGAAGGAATGTTCGCCTCAACGGGAGTGGGCCGAACAAATGCTGTCCTCTCTTGTTGGCTACGCGGCCCAAGACCGTCCCAAGAGCATTCCAGACACCCCCGAAGAGCCCCAAGAGGGCCCCGAGACCTCCAACAAAAAGCCCCAAGAGGGCCCCAAGGGTGCCCCTGGCCCCACGTGCACGTGGTTATTACTTACCGACGTATTTACAAACCTGACCACATACGAGCATGGAGAGAGTTGTGCTGACCATTGTATACACCTGTTCGTTTTCACTGCTGGTACAATAATTATATGGCTCCTGCAGGCGGGCGCCCTCCTTTAGTCTTAGACGTACGGACACCCCAGGGTGGGGGCCAGTTTTGCACAGCGAACTGAAAGGATTATCACTCCGACTACTAGTATGGTAGCGGGGCCGCCGGGCTGAACCACCACCTTGCCCGCGGCTCCCATGGCGCCCGCGGGCGCGGACGACGACAGGCAGACAGCGCCGACGTGTGGAAACCCAGACTCATGAAAAACCTACCACGAACGAGCCCTGCAGCACTGCGAGCCCACCAGGAAGCAGGATCGCTACCTATGCGGCCCACGCCTGGAAGTCAGGCTCACTGGACGAGCAGACGCAGCGGTCGAGAGGTGCAGGGTCGGGTGGCTCACGCGCGAATAGCACGGGATGACGATTAATAAAAAAATGAGAGCGAACGATAAAAAATAGTTTTCTGCTATTTCTGCCTAATTTTCCTGACTGGAAGAGAACGATTAAAGAATAGCTTTCCAGCCCGCGGCCGGTTTTTTCTAATCGTCATCCCGGGCGCCGCCGCGTGAACACGACCCCCGGTCATTTATTAATCGTCATCCTCCATTACGGGGTAGAGAAGTTGCTGGCCTTCCCGGAGAAGCGCTGCGCACGGCAGGCCATCCCCGACGTCGGTCAGGAGCTAGAAACATACCCGGTCAAGACTCGCCAGAGGCGCGGCGAACCAAGGCGCGGAGCCGGGGAACCAGTGCCTGAGGAAGGCCCTCGGCAGGGCCATGGGACTACCGACAGCTCCAGCCAGGACACCGACTGAGCGGATCGGATCGCATCGAAGACAAACGACCAGTGCCCCGAGTCGGCCCAAGAGGACCCCAAGATCGCACACGAGCCTCCCAAGAGGGCTCCAAGACTGTCCTACAGGGCTCCAAGAGGGCACCAAGAGGCCCTCCAAAAGACCCCGCAAAAACAGTTGATGTGCCTCAGGTGTTGGAGAGAGTTTGAGGTTCTCGCCCATTTGGGTTTCCGGCCGCCCAAGGCGGCCCAAAGGATTTCCAAGATAGCTCCAAGAAAACCCATGATGCCCCCAAGAGGGCCTGGGGTCGGCCCAAGAGGACCCCAAGATCGCCCAAGAGCCTCCCAAGCGGGCCCCAAGATGGCCCGGAAGCGCTCCAAGAGGGCACCAAGACGGCCGAAAGATGCCCCCAAGACGGCCTCCGAAGACGTCAGACGGGCCAATCGTCTCCCCAAGACTGGCCAAGAGGCCCACAGAGGCCCTAGGAGGCCCCCAAGAGGCCCCCAAAAGGCCCCCCAGGAGGCTCCCAGGAGGCCCCCAGGAGGCTCCGAGAGGGCCCAAAGAAGCTTTCTCCTCGTCCTCATTTTCTCCTCCTCCTCCTCCTCTTCCTTCTCCTCCTTTTCTTCCTCCTCCCCTCCTCCTCCTCCTTCTTCTCCTCCTCCCTACCGCGTGGACGAAGACTCTGTCGGGATCACGACCCTCCCCAATTTAGACAACTTGCTGAAAAGCCGCGGGGTGTAAATTCGACCTTCTTAGTAACGCGCGGACGAAGACGAAGTGGAGTTCACGACCTGACCTTATCAGACCACTCGTCGGACTTGCGCTGTTCCTACACTCATCCTCATTCCTGCTGCGCTGTTGTACAGGCACGATGGCGGGGTTTGCCGCAGGCAGCTGGATTCAAGGGTATGTATGTCTATCTGCGTGGGCGCCACAACGTTTCCTCGTAGAGTGGGCGAGTTCCCCCTGCATACCTTACACTGCCAGCATGGTTTGAATGGTAGATGCTCGCTGCTGCTATATATGATGGCTGTCGGAATGCGCTTACATGGACGCAATGACTGGTGTTGTACAGGCCACAGGTACAACATTCAAACTAGTGGTTCTGGCCATGCCTTGTATCTGGCGACTCTACTGTTCCACGCATGGTATATCCTGGATAGCACCGAGCTTCATACTTTTTCCTGACTGTACAGGTCAAGAACTACATCTCCCATACATGCTTTTTCCTTCTAGATTTGCGATTACGCAATTCTTCCGAATTCTGAAATAACGTGTCTTCGGAAACCTATACGGTATCATGTGTGTTTGCTTCCTGTCATCCCATCAACATCCCAGAGCACGGTCTGGTCTGTGCCCACGCCGTCATACGCGGAACTGAACGACAACGACGACGACGGCAAGGACACGGAGGAGGAGCATTTGGAGGAGGATCGATGTAGAGGAGGAGCAGGGCGAGAAAAGGAGACTGGACAACTTTACAAGCCTGATGGAGTCGAGGAAACCGTAGTTCTTCTCGTAGTGCTGCATGGCGTCATCGCTCAGCACCTTGCGGCGCCCGAAATTTGCCGCCCATCCTTCTCCACATCGGCTTTCATACCCTCCCTCTCCCGTAAAGTAGCGACATTCTGTCTCAGCATGAGCTGGCGGAGGCACGACAGACGCTGTATATCAGATGTGCCATCGTCGATTCCCGTTCCTCGTGCCCTGCACAGCCGCCCCCCGTACCCGACCCGCGAAGTGCTGGTTCCAGTGCGCAAGGGACGGTTGAGAGGAGAGGGCGGGAACTGCGTGGGGCCGAGGTTGCCAGGGGCCAGCCATCGCTCGGACGTCCATTCCCTGTGTTTTTGTGCGGTTTCGTGCGTGGCTTTTTCGCCAAATGATCAAGGGTGCTCCTCGATGGTCCTCGCCGAAAAAAAAAATGCACACGTCCGAGCGATGCCAGGCGGTTGAGAGGAGAGGGCGGGAGCTGCTTGGGGTCGAGGTTGCCAGGGGTGTCTCCGCGGATGCCAGCAGGGGGGGGGGGGGCCTGCGCTGCTGGGCGGCGCGACCGCTCCGTGAGCCGAGATCACGGGGCGAGGAGTTGTTGTGGTTGCCTCCTCCTGTTTGCGGGGGGGGGCGTGGAGGCCCCGCCTTCCTGTGCCCTGTCTCCCTAATTAAAGCTGTGCGTAGCCCGCCTGGCTTTTAGCGGCAGAGGTTCGCTCTCGCCCCGCAGATCAAAAACTGTTTGCGGGGGGCGCGCCAGCTGCACGTGGCAGTCAGCAAGGATATGTGCCACCGAGAAGGGGCGGCTCCGAAGACGAACAGAGCGTGTATGGATGGTTTGGGAGGGGTGCACTGTTGAGAGACATGCGAGCAAAGAAGAGCAAACACTCTTAAAATGATTGCTTTGTTGCTGATGGGTATGGATTGGTAAACAACTATTATTGTTCGCTTTGGCGCTCTCGCCTCGGCACTGGCTGCATTTCCTTTGAAGTTGAGGCTCACGCTCAAGCGTTTTGGGGGTGCGCCATACCCCCCCTCCCAACAACAACAACGCTCCCGCGCGATACTTCCTCACAGCTTACTTTCTCACCGAAGACCTCCTCACAATTCAGCACAGCAAAAGAATCATTCATAGCAATATTGTCGCTACTTGCGGATGTTGAAACGGCTGTTTCGTTTTAACTCCCTCACAATGTAGCATCGCAAAGTGGTCCTTCAGAACCAGATTGCTGCTACTCGCGGATGCCGACAGCCGTTTCGCCCGAGACTTATTCGCAATTCAGCACCACAAGGGGGTCCCTCAGAACATGGTTGCTACTACTCGCGGATGCTGGACCGGCCGTTTCACTTGAGACTTCCTCGCGATTCAGCAGTACAAGGGGATCCGTCAGAGCAGTCTTGCCGCTACTTGCGGATGCCCCAGGAGGCCCCATGACGCTCCATGGATATATGTCCGGGCAGCGATTTTCGGCCCTCCCACACCCAGGAGGCCCCAGGAGGCCCCAGGAAGCATTTTCTGTGTTGGGACATGTGTTCGGAGGGTGCTTTTCGCCCCCCCCCCCCCCCCCCCGCTTCCTAGGAGGCCCCAGGAGAGACTCTTTCTGTCTTGGAACATGCGTTCGGGGAGCGTTTTTCTGCCGTCCCGCCCCCAGGAGGCCCCAGGAGGCCCCAGGAGATACGTTCCTGTATTGGGAGACGTGCTCGGGGAGCGCTCTTCGGCCCCCCGTAGGTTTCGCCCCCGCTTCGCCGTCCATCTCCTGGGGCTCGGATCTCCTTTGTCTGACGAGTGTTCTGATAGATTGTCCCTCTCCTGAGGCTCGAATCCTTTCCCTCTCCTGCGGCTCGAACCCTTCGTGTTTCGAATCCGCACCGCACCCCGAAGTCGCACTGTTTTTGTTTGTCTCGTGCGAGCTGAACAGTGGGAATGCGTCTCGCGAGAAGTGTTGGCTCGACCTCCACGGTCCCCTTCTTTCATGTGGTTCCCCCAAGACGGGGTGGCATCATGATGGTTGCACATGGCATGTAGAAGCATGGCGCATGGGGCACAATTTCTATTGACTCTTCATCCAAAACATGTTTGTTGATCCCCCCATCCAGTGCACCTGTTGCACCTTTCGTCTTTCAATCCGGATGCTCCTCCCAGGGCTCGCACTCTGTCTCCCTGTTTCTAAACAAGGGGAACTCCTCCTCCTCCTGCTCCTCCTCCTCAAACTGTGTCCCTGCTCCCAGGATTACAACTGCAACAACGACAACAACAACAACAACAACAACAACAACAACAACAACAACAACAACCACAACCAACAACAACCACAACAACAACAACAACAACAACGCGAACAACAACGGTCCCCGCCTGACAATTCCTCACAAAGTATTTCAAAATCTCGCGCTCACGGAGGACGTCCTCACAATGTATCAAGAATCGCGCTCTCGCGCTGGTTATCCTCACAATGTATTCAGACGCTGCGCCCTCGACGCTCAGGAATCGCGCTCTCGCTCTGGCTTCTCTCGTGATGTACTTCGGAATCGCGCTATCGCTCGAGACTTCATCGCGATTCATCCAGGACTCACTCTTCATCAACCCGCCTGCTCGACCTGGCCGCCCAGACCCGCCTTCCCGACCCGCCCGTTAGGATCTACCCACCCGATCAACCCGTCTGGTTCTGCCACTTGTACTCTGCTCCTAGCCGCCCTCCTGCTAATCTCTTTCGTGCTCCATCCTTCTCCCTCCCAGTTCCCTCCGTCCTCCCTTCCATTAGTTTTAGGGGCTGCACTAATTACTTACATGTGGCAGGTAAGGAAGACATGCCCCAAGGGGATACGATCGAAGACGAAGAGGGCGGGTATCGAGGGCTTGGGATATAGGTGTTGAATGGCACGCGAGCAGGTAAGAGCGAACCGTATTAAAATGGTTGTTGTTGGTATGTGGCTGTTTTCATGGTTTCTGCCCTCGGATCGAGGAGCGGGAAAGGACAACGAGGCCTGCAGCAAGGGAGCGGTCGAACCATGACCCTCAGTATCGAGCTAGACGGCTGGGCGGAGCTCACTCCGTGGTGACACTGCGGGAGTTGTGCGTGTGACTTGGGGACGCTGTGCTCTAGGAGGCTACTTTGGGAAGTCTTCGTAAGAACGATTAGGCGATTCAACCCGACTAGCTGAAAAGCCATTGCCGACTAAGCAGCCATTAAGCCAAAGAAGGCTGGACTGAGCCCAAGATGTAGCCCCGGATTTAGTCAACTACACCGGGATCAGACGGGACAAATCGGGCTTAAGACCAGACTCGAGCGGATTTCGACCGCGGATATAGCAGCGTCGATACCGAAGTAGTTGTATACTATACGAGAACAGCGGCCGTGCACTGTACCACGTCTGGGCTCCATTCAGGCACCGCTCCAGCGCGGTACGGTGCAGAAGTTTCTTGCCGTGATGGCCGGAAAGCTAGGCCTTGTACCACTCCCGGGTCGAGTCGACGACACCTCGGGAGACATCAACGCTGCACGGTGCACACAAGCTGTCCGCGGTTCCCAAGCCCTGGGCACAATCCGCACCAGCCGTTCATGTTAGGCACCAGTGCCCTGCGGACAGGGTCGGCACCTCACGATCCCACGGAACGCCCGGGCGCGACGCCGAGCGGAAGCGGGGCGGCCAGCCTGGGGGCCTGCGCGGTGACCTCGGTGGCTGTACGCTCTCGCGACCCTGAACGCTGCAGGCTAGGGACCAGCAGGCGCAAGGGGGGCAGGGGGGGAACAGAAAGGAGGAATCCCTTGGTGTTCATCCCCGTGTCTTGCCCCTACACACAACCCCCAACCCACTCCCCCCCGCCCCCCACCCCTCCCGCCCCTGTCCCCTCGCTCCCCAGTTCTCAACGTCGTTGGCTGCACTGGTGGTCCACTACTTGTGACCTCCCACGCCTGTGCTGCCGAATGCTGAGGGGGGCAGCGCTGGATCTGAAGGGAGTGGGGGGGGCGAGCCAGGGGTCCCACTCTGCTGACCTTCCACGGAACTTGCCATCGCTTGGACGTCGATTCCCTGTGCTTTTTTCGGTTTCGTGCGTGGTTTTTTCGCCAAATGATCAAGGATGCTCCTCGATGGTCCCCGCCGAGGGAAAAATGCACACGTCCGAGCGACGCCGAGGACCCTACCGCGTGCAGAGCGCACACCGCGCCTGGCGCACTCGAGACACCAGGGCTCGACCTGATTCTGACCCAGGGCCTAAAAGGAAGCCCGGGGAGAGGAAAGAGACTGCGCAGGAAGGAAGCCCTGAGGACCTAGGAGGCCCTGAGGAAGGAAGCCCCGAGGAAGCCCTGAGGAAGCCCAAGGAAGGGCCCGGGGCAGAGGGTGCTGCAGGAAAGCCCCAGGCTCGTCGGCGCGTGCGCGCGCGGACGTGGCCTGGGCCGTCGAAGAGATCCCGCTGGGAAAGCCGAGGAAGCGAGGCCTTCGGCGCCGCGTACCCCCTGCTATCCCGCGAATCCTTCGTGGCCCCCGGAGTCCAAAGAAGCCGTCCCCAGGGCCCGCGTGGCCCTCGGACAACCTCCTCTGGGGCCCAGAGAGCAGTCCCCGAGAGGACGTCCAGAGGCCTGGAATTGGGCTGTATGAGCGGAGGGAGCCTCCTCCTCCTCCTCCTCCACCTCCTCCTCCTCGCTCTCCTCCTCCTCCTCGCCTCTCTCCTCCTCCTCCTCCTCCTCCTCCTCCTCCTCCTCCTCCTCCTCGCTCTCCTCCTCCTCCTCCTCTCCTCCTCTCTCCTCCTCTCCTCCTCCTCTCCTCGCCTCCTCCTCCTCTCCTCCTCCTCCTCCTCCTCCTCCTCCTCCTCCTCCTCCTCCTCCTCCTCCTCCTCCTCCTCCTCTTGGAAAATCGCCCCACGAGGCCGAACTCTGTTTTGAACTCCAACGAGGGCTCCCATGCCGACGCCTCCAGCAGGAGAGAAGCAGGTGGAGAGTAAGACTCTCTGCGAGCCTGTCGGCTCGGCATGACACCTTGCAGGAGGGCTCCGTTGAGATCTCGCTGCGTGAAAAGGGCACACAAATCTATAATTCGCCATGGAGTCACCATCGGCGACAGCATAAGCATCTCCAACAACAATGTATGGCGTGTGATACCTCACCCCGATGGGCGAACGGGGGACTGCTTGCCAGAAAGCGGCATGCAAGTCGCACAACCAATACCAAAACTCAGTCTATCTGTAGTAAAATCAACCCCGCGCGATAGTTGGTACGGGTGAGGGTGATCTCCTGATTAAGGCGCACATGCGCCATGCAATGCGACAAGGTGCAACGCAATGAGGAACCATGCAGCGCAAATCAGATCACGGCACATCAATGCAAATATAATCATCGACAAACAGACCATAGCACAGAAGCAGCGCGCGACATCAAAAGCCATCACATTGCACATCGCGTATGGCATGCCACAGCGTAGTACCGCACAACATTGCATGCAATTGCGTCGAATAGCAACGCGAACATCCATACATCACAACATAACAACACAACACAGCACGGCACGGCATTGGCAGGTATGGTATAGCAGTCGATAGCACAGCATAGCAGTGGAGAAGATTGCACCGTCTGGAATAGCAGATCACAGCGCCTCGCACGACAGCACAGCATACCATGTCATTGCGCAGCACGAGCAACACCTCCGCGAGAAGGCGCGCACCCCGCGCCGCGCGAGGGGCCCGCCAATCCTAGGAGCGCCCCGAAGCCTCAAGCCGATGAGAGATCCCCGAGGCAAGCCTTGCTTGGCAGGCAACGCATGGGATACAGCAGACACATGCGATCAGAACCGTTCGCTCCGAAGCACACGAGCGCCTCCGTCATCGGTCTTCGTCGTTGATCTTTCAGGACCTGAAGGTGGAGAGGGAGGGGGAGGGGGAGAAGGAGGAGGAGGGCGAGGAGGAGGAGGAGGAGGAGGAGGAGGAGGAGGAGGAGAAGGGGGAGGAGGAGGAGGAGGAGGAGGAGGAGGAGGAGGAGGAGGAGGAGGAGGCGAGCTTCTGTGGGCCTCCTGGGCCCTCGGGGGATAAAAGAAAAAGTCCGCGGGGGCACCTGCTGACCCGGCGGTTCTCCATACTCCGGCGCGCCGGCCGTACGGCGCGGAACTCGGGCGACGCGGGCGGCGGGGGCGCCAGTGGTGATTCGGGTGGGGCGAGATCCGAGGGATGGAAAAACGACCCTACGGCAGGTTCGTGTCGTGCCGACCCCAGCGTTGGTTTTTGACACCGCAGGGATCGTTCAACCTTGAACGATCGGCCGCTGCCGCAACGTCCGATCGTTCAACATCGATCGATTCTGGGTCGCCGGCGGCGTTCAACCTTGAACGCCCGCGCTGGGGTCGCCGCTGGTCGACACGACGCAAACCTACCGTACCCTGGGTTACAAAAGTACGTGGTCTGTAGACCTCCTGGGAACCCCCAGAGCCTAGAGCCGCCAGGACGCGGCACAGCACGCAGGGTTTTTCCCCTGTCAGGCCACAGGAGTTTCAGCGCACAGCGCCTCGTAAGCCAGGGCAGGGGCGTTTTTAATGCCCCTGAGAAATGGGAGGGGGTAGAGAACGGGGGGTTGGCGACTGGGAGGCGCCGGAGGCGCCAGTACATCGAGGAGAGCGCCTGGCGACGGTGCCGAAGCTAGCTGCACGCAGCAGTTCTCGTACGCCCCCCTCTTTTCCTAACCCCCTCACGTCTCGTCCGACCCTAAGGGCTACTAGCTCACATCGCGCGAGTCTGCGCGCCAAAGATGGCATCGGTGTTCTCCGCCGCCTCGATGTCGAAGGCAGTGATGCTGCCAGTGGCGTAAGTGAAGAGCTCGCAGGTGACGTCGACGCCGTCCTTGCAGCTGTGCACGACGGAGAGGTTTGGGTGGTGATTCGCCCGCTCGGCTGCGGCAGCGACGCTCGCGACGAAGGCCGCGGCCCTCGGGTACGAGGGAAAATGGAACGCGCGGCTCAGCACCGTCGTCAGCGGCGCTGGGCCTCCGAGCTGACGAGCGGTGAGCGCCCACCCGGGGTGCGCCGCGAGCCACGCCCCCTGGGCACCGGCACCCAGGGCCTGGGGAACTCAGAAGACACTGGCCTCTCCAAGGGTGCGTCCTGACCAGGGTCGTCGAACGTCCAACGGCTTGAGCCGAACTCGAGTCGAGCCTCAATCGAGCTAGAGTCGAGCTAGAGTCAAACAAGACTCGAACCAGAGTCGAACACATCCGCAGGTGGGCTCCAGGAAGGCCCCCCGAACGAACATCTAACGATGAGGCCGGGGCGCCCAACGCACGGCACGACGATGGCCGCCTCTGGGGGAACCAGACGATCCCGACCGCTCCTCCCTGGACCTCTCAGGGTGCGTCCGGACCAGGATTTCGAGGCGGATTCGGCCATGGCGACGGGGGCCTGCCCAAGAAGGCGAACACAAGGGAAGGGTAGCGGTATCAGTGCCTTCAAGCATGCGACGCCTGCAGTCTTTCAATACGCGGTCCCCTGAAGTCCCGGCCCTTGCCCCAGGGCTGGATTCTTCATTCCGACCCGTTTTGTCATGGTCCTGGCGAGGGCCTGGAAGCCGAAAATGACCAAGAACCTCCTGACGTGATTTTGTCACGACGCGAGGAGGTCTGGGTCAGTACAGTCGGGCTGCTGTATTCAATAGGGTACTAGAAATATTGAACGAACATCCTTTTCCCCTAGTCGAGCATCCTGTTTGCCAAGCCCATGCCAAGAAGCACCCTCGAAAGGTACAGAGGAAGCCCATGCCAGAAAACACCCTGCTTGCCTCCAGGGTGCCCTGGGTTTCTTGGGTTTCGATAGTTCTACGATGGAAAGCGTGACGTCCCCATACCAAACTCAATGGACATCCTGGTGTCTCAGGGCTGGGTTTCTTGAAAAAGGTTTCTTGTGATCGAGCTCCTACGATACGGCCGAGCCCCTCCTGGAGCCCTGTTCCTTCAACCAGCCGCCCTGATCGACAAAACAAATCAGCTCGTTCTAAACTTCAGGAACACCGAACGGGCTCGCCTCCGAACAAGCAACGGAATGCATGCAAACCTAAGAAAGCATCAAGCCCATTCCGACCTCGAACTGGACCAGATTCCAACGAACTGACTGTACCTTTTCCTCCTCCGAGGGCAACAATCACCGCCTGAGCCAAGGAGCCTATCTTCCTGCGTCATTTTGACAGCCGGATCGATCTGTGAGGGCCCCAGGACCCGAAACCTGGCGAAAACGCCCGTTGTGAAAAAAAGCTGCAATTCCAAGATCTCAGGGTGGATCGGTACCTTTGTTGGTTCCGGGCAAGGGGGGTCTTTCGCAGCGGGGTCGCAAATGCACTCAACAGTTCATCCTGTGGCGCATGGCCCGTGGCAGCCACGTGCTGCAACTGCACGACGTGCGCATCCCGCACGAACGACTTTGCACAAACTATTGCACACATGTGTGTAGAGACCTCCTAGATGGTGTCCGAGTGGATGTGGTCGGCGAATGGGCGACCGCTGGTTTCGCCGACGGCTGGTTTCGCCCGGCTGGTTTCGCCGCCTGGCGAAACCAGCTCCGTCGGCGAAACCAGATGCCGTCGGCGAAACCAGATGCCGTCGGCGAAACCAGCCGCCGTCGGCGAAACCAGCTGCCGTCGGCGAAACCAGCTGCCGTCGGCGAAACTGCCCGACCCGACCCGCCCGCTAGGGTCCGCACGCCCGACCCGGCCCGCCCGCTAGGTTTCGCGCGAGCTCGGCCGAGCGCGCCCAACACTTGAATCTCCCGCCCGCCCGACTCGACCCGCTGGTAGGGTCCGCCCGCCCGATCCGACCCGACCCGCCCGCTAGGGTTCGCCCGCCCGATCCGACCCGGCCGATAGGGCTCGCGCGTGCTCGGTCGAGCGTCGGTGAAACCAGCGCTGGCGAAACCAGCCGCCGGCGAAGCCAGCCGCCGGCGAAACCAGCGGGGCGAAACAAGCGCCAGCGACACCAGCGCCGGCGAAACAGGAGGATTCCGCCGTATCGGCGATGCATCGGCGATGCATCGGCGATGCATCGGCGACGTCGGCGTAGCGAGCCGCATCGCCGATGCATCGGCGTTGCGGCGGCATCCTCCGACCCCATCTGCTCAGACCCCATCTGCTCGGACCCCACCTACCCGGACCCCATTCCCAGAGATCCGACGTCGTGATTTTTTCAATGCGCGGTCCCCCGCAGTCCCGACCCCTTGCCCCGGACCTGTTTTTCCTCGTGAGTCGTTCTTGGACGGTCCCAGGGCCCGGCGAGGGCCCCTGGAGGCCGAACATCGAGAGAAACACCTCCGCCTCGATCTTGTCAATACGTTGGAGGTCTGGGCTTCCTGCCCGGGATCGGCTCCACGCAGGAGCGACCCTGGGTAAGAGTGACCTCAGGTGCGCGGCGTTCTGGGACCGCGGGGGGGGCGAAACACGGCAGCGCAGGCCGCTGCCGCCGCTTCTCTGTCAGCCACCTGGGGGACCCATCTGTGCCCGCACCAAAGTAACCAGCCTGGAACTTATCCACTTATCCCTATCCCTGAGATTGACACGCCAAAAGGCGATGACAATCTTAGGGATGCACCCCCAGAAACTGAGGGCATCCCTGAGATCGCCATCGTGACGAGGCGATGCCCGACATAAGGTTAGGGATAGGTTCCAGGCTGGTAACAAAGGTCACTCCGGTGAAAGGTCACTCTTGCGCCCAGTCGACAGGACCGATTCGCCCGAAGCCGACTTCTCTAGGGGGCCACATGCGAACCCTGCCCCACCCTCCCCCTCAGAAATCGTGGGGGGTAGGGGTAGGGTTCGCATGTGCCCCCCTAACTTCTCCTCCCCCCAGGGGCGCCGGCGTCGAGGCCACGGCGCCGAGGGGCCGGAGCGGGCGCTCGAGGGCGCACGCGGCGGCCTGCAGCAGCAGCACGGCGCAGGACAGCGGGCCGACGCCGCCCGGGCACGGGGCGACGCGCCGAGCGTGCGCGAGCCGGGCGGGGTCGGCGGGGATGTCGGGCAGGAGTTTTCCTGGTGACTACCTACCAGACCACCCCAACCCAACCCGAAGACCCGAATTTCGGGTTGGGGGGGGTACGGGTTCCATATGTATTTTTTCAGTGTTCCCCGATCCCCCCCCCCCCACTGGAAATGGAGGGCAGATCGGGGCCTTCGGGTTGGGTTGGGGTGGGTTGGCGGGTGGTGACCTGGGGATCGATATTGTGGATACCACGGCAGTGGACGCTCGAAGGGTCCTGTCATTGGATTAGGAGTGTGTCTAACATGTAGGAGGCATGTTCTAGACATGTTTTGAACATGCTTCTTACATGCTTCCAGCATATTTAGTTCATGTCTTTTAGACACCTGGCCCGGCACAGAAACGGAAAGAGCGCTTCAGAAACAGAAACAGAAATTACTCACACCGTTCGTACTGGGAGCCTTGGCGTTGAGAGCTTGTTACGTCACCCCTCGCTCTTGGGAGCCTTGGTGTTCAGAGATTGTTGCGTTGCCGCCCGTTCCTGAGCCTTGGCTGGGCCTTGGTGTCAGGAACTTGTTACGTCACCGCTCTCTGCTGGGAGCCTTGGTCTTATCAGCTTGTTTACGTCACCGTTCGCTCTTGGGAGCCTTGGTGTGAAGAGCTTTTTGCATTACCGATCGCTCTCTATTTGGCGTCTCTGGGCCTTCTTGGGAGTCCTATTGGGGCCCTTGTCGGGCCCTTTTGGAGGCCTCTTGGGAACCTCTTGGGGGCCTCTTGGGGCTTCTTGGGGGGCTCTGGGGGCCTCCTGGGAGCTTCTTGGGGCGAAAGGCTAGACTTTTCGGTTCGTGGTCCCCCTCTTGGGGCCGTCTTGGGGCCCTCTTGGACCGTCTTGGGCGCCTCTTGGGCCGTCTTGGGGCCCTCTTGGGCCGTTTTGGGGGCCTCTTGGGAGCCTCTTGGGCCGTCTTGGGGCGTTCCTGGGGGCCTCTTGGAGCGTCTTCAACTCAGTGAAAGCCGAAAAGCCTTGTATGCTAACAATGTACATTTCCCCATGGGAAATCTATGATTTTCGCCTCCCGGTGGCCTCTTGAAACGCCTCTTGGGGGCCTCTTGGGGCTTCTTGGGGGGCTCTGGGGGCCTCCTGGGAGCGCCTTGGGGCGAAAGGCTAGACTTTTCGGCTCGTGGTCCCCCTCTTGGGGCCGTCTTGGCGCCCTCTTGGGCCGTCTTGAGCGCCTCTTCGGCCGTCTTGGGGCCCTCTTGGGCCGTTTTGGGGGCCTCTTGGGAGCCTCTTGGGCCGTCTTGGGGCGGGCTTGGAGGCCTCTTGGGCCGTCGTCAACGCCGTGAAAGCCGACAAAGCGCATATGCTAAAAAATACGTTTTCCACTGGAAAATCTATGAGTTCGGCCTCTTGGGGCCCTCTTGGGACGCCCCTTGGGCGCCTCTTGGGGGCCTCTTGGGGGCCTCTTGGGCGGTCTTGGGCGGTCTTGGGCTCTCTTGGAGCGCTCTTGGACCGTCTTGGGGGGGAACCCGAAAAACATGCAAAAACCCAAAAGAAAACCCGAAAACGGCCATTAACACACAAATGCGCACGCTACCCCCCTCCCCTGGAACCCCTCCTTTTAGGGCTCCGCCCACACCAAAACGTCATCACTCGTACCTCGCTCTTTCCGTTATCTGGAAAATATTTGGCAACATGCTTCCTCTCCATTAGTCGGCTTCCACAAGAATCGAAGAAACGAAACAAATACAAAAACGCCATAAGCATAAACTTTTGGCGCTCCACGCGGATTTCTTGGATCTGCGCTGGGCCCCCTCCCTGTCGCGCGGAGCGCGCCGGGGGCGGCGCCCGAGGCGCCGCCGGGGGCGGGGGCCTCGCCGCGGACCTAAAAAATCCGCGCGGAGCCCTAAAACTTTATGCTTATGGCGTCTGTTCTTCTTCGAATGTCGAGCAGGAGCTCTCCTAGGAAGGCGCTCACTGCCCAGACCCCCTCGGCTCAAGATCAAGCACGACGGGAGGTTTGCAGCTACGGCGGGGGCATTGGACAAGGAACCCTGAGATGAGGAATCCAGGGTCTGGAAGCCAATGGAACTCCAATCGTGGATCGGCCATGGATATCACCGCCGCTGTCTTGAAAAAGAGAAATCGGGGATGGACAGAATCCCCTTTAGTAAAATGTGGTTTAATGAAAACGACCTCGGGCCCAAACCTGGCGGGCGCAAGCCTGGAAAATGACGGCCGCGGCGCCCTCTCGAGAACCGAAAACGGACAATTCACTAATCGACGTGTCAGGGTGGGGGCTCTGTCCACCCCCGAAAGGAACGCCATAAACGTAAGCTTTTGGCGCTCCACGCGGATTTCTTGGATCTGCGCTCTGCGTCCCCCTCCCTGTCGCGCGGAGCGCGCCAGGGGCAGCGCCCGAGGCGCCGCCGGGGGGGGGGGGGGGCCAGCGCGGATCCAAGAAATCCGCGCGGAGCTCCAAAAAGTTCATGTTTATGGCGTCTGTTCTTCTTCGAATGTCGGGCAGGAGCTCTCCTAGGAAGACGCTCACTACCCAGACCCCCTCGGCTCAAGAACAACAATCACGACGGGAGGTTTGCAGCTATTCACAGCCTCTGGGGGCCCTCGCCAGGCCCCGGGACCATCAAAGATCGGCTCGGGATGAAAACTGGCCCTGGGGCAAGGGCTGGGATTTCCGGGGACCGCTTCTTGAACAAAATCAAGCCATCCTATGTCCGGCAAGGTACCGATGCCGCTAGGCTGGCATCGATTTTACGCTTGTGGGCCTCCCCTGGGAGGTCCTCGTCGCCACGGCTGGATTCGCCTCGAAATTCTGGTCAAAATGCACCCCAGGAGAGGTCCGCGAAGTGGCGGTAGCGGTCCCTTCTGGTTTCAATTTCTCCAACACCGATCCTGACCAGGCTCATCCTGGACCCAGGATCGGCCTGGCCAGGATGGGTGAAATTAGGCGTATAGTTGGTGCACCGCGACTTCCGTCGACGAAGGCCGTGCCGACGTTCACGACAACGGCACCAGGCTTGATCCAGTCAGCCGCGATGATTAGATGACCGTTCCGAGGGCCTTCCTGGATAAACTCGCTCCACTCATGCGTCGATGATGCGTCGAACGTCCGTTGACTTGAGTCGAACTCGTGTCGAACCTGAGCCGAGCTAGAGTCGAGCCAGCGTCAAACCAGACTCAAACCACTCGAACAGATCCGTTAGGTGGTCCCCAGGAAGGCCCCCCGAACGAACATCTAACGATAAGGCCGGGGCGCCCAACGCACGGCACGACGATGTCCGCCTCTTGGGGAACCACACGGTTCCGACCGCTACTCTTAAGTCGGGCCTGTCCCCCTACAGGGGGATTTTTAGAGGAAAGAGAACTATGCACATACAACGACTCTGGCCAGGCCCATCCTGAGCCCAGGATCGGTGCATACTCCCGCTACCTTGGCCAGGAAGGTATATGCACCGATCCTGGGTGAAGGACGGGCCATGCCAGGATCGGTGCATGTGTATAGTTCTCTTCGCCCAAGATTGTGGAGAAAAAATGAAAAATAGTCAAACAAATATTTCAAAAAATGATTAAAAAAAAACATTAAATGGTCCACAGACTAATTTTTTACTATTTCTGAATATTCAACCTGTAGAGGGACAGGCCCGACTTAACGCTGCTCTTGGCGGCGCGCACAAGGGGGTGGGGGGAGGGGGGAGGGCTTCTTAGAAGGAGGCCGCTTCTTAGCAGGCGCCGGCCTCACATCTATAGATAAGGCCCGCACCTTCTAAGAAGCAGGGGCGCTTCTAAGAAGCCCTCCCCCCTCCCCCCACCCCCCTCTGCGCGTGGCTGGTTAACGCTGCTCCATGGACCTCTCCTGAAGTGCGCTCTAACCAGGCCGTCGGGGGCGAATCGGGCCGTGTGGCGGCGAGGGCCTCCCGGTAGGCCCAATACGGCGAGCACGAGCAAAAACGAGAGCAGCGGTAGCGGCACCTTCCCAGACACGCCCCCCTCCTCCTCCTCCTCCTCCTCCTCCTCCCCCTCCTCCTCCTCCTCCTCCCTCCTCCCTCCTCCTCCTCCTCCTCCTCCCCTCTCCTCCTCCTCCTCCTCCTCCTCCCCCTCCTCCTCCCCTCCTCCTCCTCCTCCTCCTCCTCCTCCTCCTCCTCCTCCTCCTCCTCCTCCTCCTCCCCCTCGCCCCCCACCTCCAGACACGCGACGCCCTCCACTTTTCACGGCGCGGTCCCCCGGACCCCGGAACCAAAAAAAAAACACCAGTCCCTGCAGGGCCGGCGTCGCGTCCCCGGCCGGTGCTCCACGGCCCCGAGGCCCGGGCGAGGGCCCCCAGGGGGCCGAGGGCGGCCAGGAGCCTCCCCGCGGTGAGCTCTGCCGCGACGCAGGGGGGGTCTGCTGGGTCGGCACGCGCTGCCTCCCCGGAGCCTCCAGGCACGCCGCCCGCAGGTCGGCGGCGTCCGCCCGGGAGTGCGCGGTGGTCACCAGCGCGCCGCGCGCGCCGAGCATGAAGGCGAGCGGCGCGCCGCACAGCCGCGAGCGGCCCACGACGAGGGCGCGCCGGCCGGCGATGGGCTCCTCGCGGTGGTCCACACGTTCTCGGGGCGTGGGGTGCCATGCGGGACCCGCCTTCTAGCAGGAACGCATCGCAGACGAATCTGGCCTTTCTCCGGCCTCGCACCGCGCCGAACGCAACGGCCGCGTTGTCTATAGACGCATCCACCCCGAACGCGTCCAAATACGAAACGACACTCCATGTGTCTAAAGAATATTGTCCCCAGAAAGTGGGAGCGGTACTTGGCACATGGCCCATATATTGGCCCTCCAGAAGCAGGGTCGACCTGCCCCTCAAATGTAGGACCGAAAACTGTATCCTTCGTAGCACTACTCCTCGACCCCCTGAAAAACAGCTCTCGGTCCCAGCTCCTCGCAGTAGTCCAAGAACAGGTCGGTTCTGCCTGGCGGTCTCCGGCCTTGGATGGGCCTCCTGGAATGAAGGGGCCCTGGGACACACAAATAAATACACACAAATAAAACGATTCCCCATATTATCCCATATTTCTGGGGTGTTTTTGTATTCCCCCCCACTTCCCATATTTTCCCATATTTTCTTAAGAATCGACGATTAATTGTGTCTGTGTTTTTTTCCCCTCCTGGAAGCTTCTCGCCGCCACGGCTGGATCCGCGTCGACAGGCGGCTCAGGATGGACCCTGGGAGGGCGGGTGTCCAGGCACAGACTTTGTGAGCGGCCTTGCTTGGAGACCTGGAAGTTGGCACCAACACCAACACAGGGGGGGGCCTCCACAGGGGGAAGATGCTCCTCGATGTCGATGTTGGTGGTGATGTTCCAGCCACCTTGAAGCCAGGATATTACCACCATCACCGAGATCGGGATCTTCTTCCCTCGATGGAAGCACACCGCCGATATTGGTGTTGGTGTCAACCTCTAGGCTCTAGGCCTTCGACTTGATCCATGCGGGGGTGCCGCCGTCGTCGCAATTGGCCCTCCTCAGATCCTCGTAGTGATCCAGCAGCCGGATCACGGCGGCCGCCGTGACGGGCGCGCTGCGGAGCAGCTCGCGCTGACCTCTTGCATGGAGAACGAAAACATCATCTTAGGTCGGGCAAGTCCTCCCACAGGCGGATTCTGGGCGAAAACTGACAAAATATTCCAAACAGATTCAAAAAGACTCACAAATAATCAAACATCGTCCCCCAGACCCTTTTTTAATACCATTTTTGCATTCTCCTCCTGTAGAGAGACAGGCCCGACTTCCGCATAGGCGTTCGGAGAATCCCTTGCGGACTTCTCGGCTCGGCGCTCTGGGCCCCCCCCTGCCCCTGGTGCGCGGAGCGCGCCAGGGGCAGGGGCGGCGCCGGAGGCGCCGCCTGAGGGGGGGGGCCGGCGCCAGTCCAAGAAGTCCACGGGGAGCTCCGAGAGTCTGTGCCTGCGCCGCCTTTTCTTCCTCGACTGGCCGCTCAGCACGGCGCTCTGCCCGCCCGCCAGCTCCTCGGAGGAGGAAACGGTCCCGATACCGCTGCTCGTCCTGGAGAGCCCTCTTCGCCACGGCAGGATTCTCCTCGGCACCATGGCCAGAGCGCACCCCGGAAAACTCCCCTGTGATTTTCCAGTCTGCGCCCCAAGAGCCCCAGACCCCTTCCCTAGCTGGGGGGTCGTTTTGCGTCCTGGATGCATTTTTGGTGGTCCTGCGGGGCCCGATGACGGGACCCGGAGGCCGAAATCAATATATATATATATATATATATATATACATACATACATACATACATACATACATACATACATACATACATACATACATACATACATACATACATATATATATATAGAGAGAAAAATAAAATAAAAAAGCCCGAACTGTAGACATCAGACCGTCGGAGAACTGGGGCCCCCAGGAGAGGGCCGTGGAGCTGCGGTGTGCGGGTGCCTGTCTGTCCTCCCCCCCCCGCAGCTCCATCTGCGAGAGCCAGCGGCAGCCGTCGGCGTCGAGCTCCTCGGGCACGGCCGCGTAGACGGCGGCGGCGCTGACCTGCGCGGGAAGCGGCCACATGATCTGGATGCCGTCCTGGGCATCGTTCCGCCGCTCCCCGTCCCCAGCGGCGTGGCCTTGGCCCCACTGGCCGACCCTGCCTGACTGGATGGAGTTATCTGCGCCGTCCTCAGGACTTCGCCGGGCCCATCCCCATGGGCTGGTGGGGCCAAGATACCCTGGCCCAGTGGGGAGGGGGGCAGGTTAGACGATGCTGGCGTCCGCGCGCTCGCACGCCTCGCGAACCACGGCGACCAGCTGCGCGGTGGTGGCGCCCTCCGCCGGGACGCGCAGCTCCTCGACGTCGATGCCGACGGCCGCGCCCGCCGCGGGCTTGTCGAACCAGGAGGCGTCGGGGATGCCCAGGGCCTCGAGGCGCCTCGCTGCGTCCGGGTGCCCGGCGCCGAGGGGCGCCGGGCCCACGGTGACCACGCACAGCCGCGGCCGGCGCCCGAGCCGGGCGGCGGCCCGGGTCGCCAGCGCCCGTGCCTGCGCCAGCAGCTGCGGCGCCAGGCGGCTGCCCAGCATCAGGCGCGCGTCGGGTGCCCAGAGCGTCGGCTCGAGGATCGGCGCCCGCGCCTGCTCCACGGCCGCGCTGCCCAGCAGCCACACGTTGGCGCGGTCCCACGTCGCCGGATCGATCACGCCGAGCATGTCGCCCGCCGAGGTGCGCTTGACGTAGCCACAGCAGCGCCGCACGGCTTCCGTCACGAAGTCCGCACTTGATTCGAAGTGATCGATGCCGACTGGCTGCAGTGCGAGCACGTCGATGGCCGCACTCGCGGGGTCGGCGATGGCAAGCCGCCAACCGTCGAAGGTGGCGCACATGAAGCGCAGCATCGCACCGCGCCGCGCGTCTCCCTCTCGCAGCACGGCCGCCGGCGCGAACAGGGTCTGCGCATAGCCCAGCGCCACATCGCCGCCGCCGTCGTCGCCGCCGTCGCGCAGGGCGTCGAAGGACGTCACGCGCAGAGAGGCACCGGTGGCCTCATGGTCAAGCTCGCGCTGCAGCGTGATCGCCTCCATGCAGTCGTAGATCTGCACCGCGTCCAGCTCGCCCGAGCGCAGCATCCCGAGCTTGCTGACGCGGGGCACGTCGACCACGGTGGCGTGCGGCAGCAGGCGCCGCAGGAGCTCCGTCGTGTCCTCGTGCGCGCCCACCCTCGGCGCGCTGGTGCCCCTCGGCACGCAGGAGAAACCTACGCACCCCAGCCGGGCCTTACCAGGGCCATCCCGGGCCCTGGCATGGTGCATACGTCCTCTCGCCCTGGTCAAGAAGGTCAATACACCATCGCAGGGCCCAGGATGCAGGCTGGCCCTGGCGGGGCGCGGCGGTGGTGCGCAGACTCCCCCCGCGAACCTCGCGCTGCCCGTGACGGCCTCGGCCGAGCCGCACGGAACAGCGGCCGCCGGCAATGCCGCGAGGCAGAGCGGCGACCGGCCAAACATGGCCCCGACCGCGACCACGCCTCCGCCCGGCGGCGGTGCCGCCGCGGCCCACGGCGCGAGCACGTTCTGCTCGACCGATCCGACGCACAGCGCGTCTGGCTGCGCCGCCTGGGCCGCCATCACGCGCTGCGGCTCGGCGCCAGGCGGGCACTCCGGCAAGATCGTGACGTCGAGCTGCGCCGCCTCGTACATGCCGCGGCGCAGCGCGACGGCCACACCGGCGAACTGAGCCGACATGAAGTAGTCCAGCTGGAGCGCCACCGCGACTCGGGGGGGTTCTTCAACGGTCGACATCCTGGGGCCGCAGTGCTCCTTAGACGTCTAGGGTGGCGTAAGGCAAAAAGACTTGAGCCAAAATGGCTGCGGAGGATGGGGTATGCCAATCAAAATCCGCCGACACTTCGGCGTGCGGAAGACGCTGTCGTCGTCATCGTCGTCGTCGGTCCCAGGGACATTGAGGAACAATGAGAAAGAACGCCGTAATTAAGTCGAAGGGAAGCCCCTTTCATTGATCCCTTCCCTGCCAGGGGGCGAGGGGGGAGGGGGGCGTGGGGGGTGTGGGGGGGAGAGGGGGTTGGGGGGGGGGGAAGGGGGGGGCTTCAGCCAGGGCAGGGGAGCGTTCCTCCTGGAAGCCCTCCTGTCTTCTGGGGGTGTCTTCTTAGAGGCAACCGAGCACTTTCTAAGAAGTACCCTGCCTTCTCAGAAGTTGGGCAGGGCCCGACCGTCCCGGCACAGCCTATAGGCCTACCACGGAGTGCTCTCAGAACGAATGCCATCGCTTCTCTTAGAACATAAAGCCGACGCGTCCACACAATGCTATCTCGGCCAGGCATGTACGAAGGACATGTCATACAAACTACGAAAATTGCACGCCCGAGATATCTGGGGCAACTCTGGTCCGGGGTAACTCTGGTTTGGGCCCCCGACACACGGACCCAGAGTTACCCCTGACCACCCCAAGCCCCGATGACTCGGGAGTGGTTGGACGCCCGAACTATCCTGGACAACCTGGGTCCGGGGCAACACTGATTTAGGCGCGCAGGGCACAAACCAGGAGCCACCCTTGACCACCCCCAGCACTGATGATTCGGAGCTCTGAAAAAGGGTGATTAGAAATCTTATTTGGTACGCTCAACAGGTCAGGACGCTTCGCCACTGCTCGGAGAACGCTGGGCCCCACCGTCCGCCCCGTTATCCGCGCGCGCGGGAGCGCGACGAGGACGACGGCGACGTCGACGACGACGACGACGGCGACGTCGACGACGACGAGGACGCCGACGACAACGACGACGACGACGACGACGACGACGACGACGACAACGGCGACTCATCGAAGACGCGCCGGCGCGCCCGCCGGGGCGGCGCGGCCCCGCCTTGCGGAACGTGTCCCCGCGGATGCCCCATACCCCCGACGCCTCCTGCCAAGGGGGGCAGTCGAGCGCGGCGCACTGGGGGGACGATGTAAAGCGGGGTGGGGGGAGGTGCGGCAGGTTCGTGTGGTGCCGACCTCGGCGTTGGTGCCTGACACTGGGGGGGTCGTTCAACCTTGGACGATCGGCCGTTTCCGAAACGTCAAATCGTTCACCATCGACCGTGGCGTTCAACGTTGAACGCCCTCGGCGGGTTCGCCGCCGGTCGACACGACGCGAACCTACTGTGCACCTTTTGTACCCAAAAGGGGCCCTGGAGAGCCTTCTGTGGCCCCACACAGAAGGGCCACGTCTCTTCGCCCCCCAGTTGGAGCGACGAAAAGAAAATGATCCTGCGCACAATGACCTAGCGACCTGACGCCGCGGCTCACGCGGGCCGCCGGCGCGGCACGCCACACTGGAGACGAGGGCGCTGACGCGCGAGCTTCCGCGGAAAGCTTCAGGCGCGAATGTCGACGCTAGAAGAAGAAAAAACTGCTCAAACAGAAACTTTTGGGCAGATTGGCTCTGCGCTGGACTCCCCCTCCCTGGCGAGCGGAGCGCGCCAGGGGCGGCGCCGGAGGCGCCGCCCGGGGGCCCCAGCGCGGATCCAAGACATCCGCGCGGAGCGCCCAAAAGAATGTATGATTATGCCGTGTACTAGACTACCAGTACTGCAGACGCAGTATTATGAAAAGTACTACCGTGTACTAGACTACCAGTAGACTGGCAGTAGAAGAAACGCAGACGACCCCTGTTTTGGCTGCGTCGCCCTCGCCCGCCGCCCCCCCCCCGCCAACGCCCGGGGAGGCGCCGCCCAGGACGGACCGGCACGGCGGCCGCGGCCGCCGAGGGCGGCGGCGGGCCGCTCGAGGCGGCCTGGAGGGGCGCCCGGGGCCGTCGGCCTCGAAGCGCGGGGAGGGCTCGGCTCGGAAGGCGCGGCTATCGGCTCGGCTGGGAGGGAGGGGCTGGGGAGGATGGAGGGCATGAGTGAGGTGGCCCAGGGGCACACAAAGAAACAGACACCAAGTCAAAAGGTTTCCCACATGTTCCCGTATCTTCTCTGTCAATCCCATGTTTTCCTTCAGCTTCCTGGGGGTCGACGGTTCATTGTCTGTGTGATTTTTCCCCTCCTGAATGAGCAATGGCGTCCGGATGCAATGAACGATACCTTTCGGCCGCCTATACGGGGAAGGATATCCTCATCTCTCCCAGCCCCATCCTCCCGACGCGATGGTTGACTTCCTGAACAGTCGGCCTCGAGCCGGGAAGGCTCGGGTCGGAAGGTGCATAGGCCCAGAGCCGAAAATAGGATCGGATCGGATCGGCAGCGCCAGGCTGACAAGAGCGCCACTGACTGGAACACCGTGCCGCAGCGGACCGCCGGGAGAGCGAAACCGGGTCAGCGCCTCTCTAACGGGGACTCCACTAACGGGTACTTTGGCCAGTGGCCCGGCGAACCCAACCCTCCCCGATGTGGGCGACGCTGCACTGCCAGAAAGAGGCCCTAAAGCGGCAACTTTCGGCACATCTCCACAGCACCAGTTAGTGAGTACCCGTTACGTTCTGAGCATTTTCTCAAGGTGGAGGGCTCAGGGTGAAATCCATGTGGGCTTTTGCACCTCGAAGCTCCATCCGTCTTGTGATTCGCCTTTTGCACAGGCTCAAGCCTCGGACATCCATCGAAACGGCATTTCAGACTTCACCCTCTGCCCTCCACCCACAGTCAATGCTCGGACGGTGCCGCCGAAGAACCGACGCGGAGCGGGCCGGCCGGAGTCGATCCCGAACGGGAGGGACCGGATCGAAGTGGGCCCTGCAGCGGCCGCAGGTGCGGCGGCGGCGGGCCCCTCGGGGGCGGCGCGGCACAGCGCCGCCCCCGCCCGTGGCATCGCGGGAGGGGCGCTGGGCTGGCCATCGCTCGGACGTCCACTCCCTGTGTGTTTTTTCTCGGTTTCGCGCGTGGTTTTTTTTCGCCAACCGATCAATTTGGACGCCCGAAATGGGTACGGAAAGAATGGGTACAATGCCAAACAGCAAATGTTGTCCCAAACCAACAGCGGCCGCTGTTGGGCAGGCGGCCTTCTGTCTCGAATGGACAAAGGCCGCGGCGGCGCGGACAGCGAGTCCTGTTCAGAATGAACAGGAACTGCTGTTGGGCATTGTACCTATCTTTCCGTGCCCATTTCGTTCGTGCAGAATCAAGGATGCTCCTCGATGGGCCTCGCCGGAGGAAGAATGCACACGTCCTTAGCGATGCCGGGCGGGAGGAGGGCCGCGTGTGCTGCAGCTGCCGGATGCCGTCCCCCTCCCTGCCTGCGGCCAGGGGAGCTCCTGCACCGCGCCTCGCGAAGGCGGCCCCGGCGACGCGCTGCGCCCCGCGAGCGGACACAGTCGGGGCCTTGACCTAAGGAACCCAAAATAAGGAACGAGGCCCCTTTTTCCCATAAGTTAGACTTCGATTTCCGATCGAAAACATAAGGGAAACCTGAGGCAAGCTGCGAAACGCTTAAGGAACGCGGAGCCCCTCCCCAACGAAAAGGGTTCCTTCTTCAGGGCCCCGACCGTAGCGTGTCGCACCGCTCCGCGGGGCGGGAAGCTCGGAGAGGCTCGGGGCGTTGCCGCCTGGGGGCGGGGACGTGGACAGCGCTCGCGCCGAAGCACGGTGGGCCGGAAGCGGCGGAGCGACACGCCAGGCCGGCGTTCCTGGCCGTAGCTCCGTGGAGCCCTGCGCAGGGCCAGGGCCAGAAACTCTGGTGGTCCGAGAAACCAAAGGTTGCCGAGTATGGAGCAGACGGATCGTGACGCGGAGACTTCCCATGCTCCCGACAGCGGTGCATCAAGTAGCGTCGTCAGATTGCAATATTGGGGGTAGAACCGGTGCTTCCTGTCGAGGAACTCGGCCAGGGAAATGGACCTGGCCTGCGACCGTTGTGTGGCGGTCCCCACATATGAGATGCAGCACATGCGTACAAAGGAGTTGTGATGTGTTGGCAGCGATGCTGGGATAGCCCGTGGGAGGCTGCTCCGCTCTGGCCCGTGCAAGCTTGGAAGAAACGGCCCGCCCACCTGCCCTTCTCTTACGCTGCGCATTCGAGGGGTACTGTCTGCCCCATCGCGCCGCTATCCGAATGGAATCCGCGGCGAATCCACGTCAAACGTCGGATCTGTGTCGAATCAACGTAGAATCTGCGTACAACCCCGGTCGGACACGTGGTCGCACAGGACAGATAATCGGCGGCTCCGTCCTTCTGAGATGATGTCTAAGCCTTCTCCGAAGACGCTGAGGGCTTCTCAGTAGGCCGGAGGGCTTCTTAGAAGCCCCTCCGCCTTCTGCGAAGGCCTGCACCCTTTCACTTCATAGTCCTCCTAGATGGGGTCGGAGGATCGCGCCACACCATCGATGCATCGGCGACGTAGGCGCTGCATCGGCGACGTCGACGCGGAGACAATCTGGATCCGCATCGAGCTGCGTCGCCGATGCATCGGCGATTCGGCGCGATCCTCCGACGCCATCTGCTCCGATCCCACCTACAGCCGGGGCCTTGACCTGAGGAGCCCAAAATAAGGAACGAGGCCCCTTTTTCCCATGAGTTAAACTTCGATTTCCGATCGAAAGCATAAGGAAAGCCTGAGGCAAGCTGCGAAACACTTAGGGAACGCGGAGCCCCTCCCCAGCGAAAAGGGTTCCTTCTTCAGGGCCCCGACTGTAGCGTGTCGCACCGCTCCGCGGGGCGGGAAGCTCGGAGAGGCTCGGGGCGTTGCCGCCTGGGGGCGGGGACGTGGACAGCGCTCGCGCGCCGAAGCACGGTGGGCCGGAAGCGGCGGAGCGACGCGCTAGGCCGGCGTTCCTGGCCGTAGCTCCGTGGAGCCCTGCGCAGGGCCAGGGCCAGAAACTCTGGTGGTCCGAGAAACCAGAGGTTACCGAGTATGAAGCAGACGGATCGTGACGCGGAGACTTCCCATGCTCCCGACAGCGGTGCATCAAGTAGCGTCGTCAGATTGCAATCTTGGGGGTAGAACCGGTGCTTCCTGTCGAGGAACTCGGCCAGGGAAATGGACCTGGCCTGCGACCGTTGTGTGGCGGTCCCCACATATGAGATGCAGCACATGCGTACAAAGGAGTTGTGATGTGTTGGCAGCGATGCTGGGATAGCCCGTGGGAGGCTGCTCCGCTCTGGCCCGTGCAAGCTTGGAAGAAACGGCCCGCCTACCTGCCCTTCTCTTACGCTGCGCATTCGAGGGGTACTGTCTGCCCCATCGCGCCGCTATCCGAATGGAATCCGCGGCGAGTCCACGTCAAACGTCAGATCTGTGTCGAATCAACGTAGAATCTGCGTCCAACCCCGGTCGGACACGTGGTCGCACAGGACAGATAATCGGCGGCTCCGTCCTTCTGAGATGATGTCCAAGCCTTCTCCGAAGACGCTGAGGGCTTCCCAGTAGGCCGGAGGGCTTCTTAGAAGCCCCTCCGCCTTCTGCGAAGGCCTGCACCCTTTCACTTCATAGTCCTCCTAGATGGGGTCAGAGGATCGCGCCACACCATCGATGCATCGGCGACGTAGGCGCTGCATCGGCGACGTCGACGCGGAGACAATCTGGATCCGCATCGAGCTGCGTCGCCGATGCATCGGCGATTCGGCGCGATCCTCCGACTCCATCTGCTCCGATCCCACCTACAGTCGGGGCGTTGACCTAAGGAACCCTAAATAAGGAACGAGGCCCCTTTTTCCCATAAGTTAAACTTCGATTCCCGATCGAAAACATAAGGAAAACCTGAGGCAAACTGCGAAACACTTAAGGAACGCGGAGCCCCTCCCCAACGAAAAGGGTTCCTTCTTCAGGGCCCCGATTGTAGGAGGCCCAGACTTCATCCCTCGGCTCGCCGCCGAGACAGGGCCCTACGAAGGCGCAGCGTACCAAAGCGCCTCTTGACGGGCGCCGCGGGGGTCGCCGCCTCCGGCTGCGGGGGACCACCGCCCGGCGGCGCACCGACGAGGCGAGTTTGACCCCCGTCTGACTACCTACCAGACCACCCCAACCCAACCCGAAGACCCGAATTTCGGGTTGGGGGGGGTAAGGGTTCCACATGTGGTTTTTCGATGTTTCCCGACCCCCCCCCCACTGGAAATCGAGGGTAAATTCGAGCCTTCGGGTTGGGTTGGGGTGGTTTGGTGGAAGGTGACCGTCGGTGGGGGAGGGAGATACCTTGGCGGCACGCACGAGGGAGAGGGGGCGCGAGGGGGGCGACCTGCTGCGGCAGATTCGTGTCTTGCCGACTTCGGCGTTGGCTGCTGACACCGCGGGGATCGTTCAGCCTTGAACGATCGGCCGCTTCCGAAACGTCGGATCGTTCAACATTGACCGATTCTGGGTCGTGAGCAGCGTTCAACGTTGAACGCCGGCTGCGGAGTCGCCGCCGGTCGACACGACGCGAACCTACCGTACCTTGGCGGCACGCACGAGGAGGGGAAGAAGCGGTGTTTTTCCCAGAAGGCGGCGTCTTCCTAGAAGGGCCTGGAGGCTCCCGAGAGGACTTCCTCTTAAGCAGGGATGGCCCCTGAGAAGCCCCTTCCGCCTTCCAAGAAGCCCCCCCAGGCTTCTTAGAGCGCCGCACCCCACGTGCCATCCCCTTAGGCGCGCCGCCACGTGCCGATGCCTGCACCGCTGCTCTCTGGACCTCTCCCGCGGCTCGCTCTGCCCAGGATTCTCGAGGCGACTCCAGTCGCGGCGATGAGGGACGGGCGGCGGCAGTGGTATCTCTTGCTCCTCTGGCCGCCTGGGGGGTGGCCCCCCCCCCCCTCCCGACCAACGGTCCCCGAGAGGACAGGAACACAACATACGAGCATGGACTTTCGGAGGTCCGCACGGATGTCTCGCGTCGGCGCTGGACCCACCGTGCCTGGCGTGAGGAGCGCGCCAGTGGGAGCGAGCGCAGATCCGATCATGATGCAAAACATCCGTCCGGACCGCCTAAAGTGTATGTTTCTTAATATTATTACTATTATTATTATTAATATTATTATTATGATTATTATTATTATTATAACTATTAGTATTACTATTATTATTACTACTATTATTATTATTATTATGTTCACTGGTATTATTAGTAGTATTAATATTATTAGTAGTATTAATCATATGATTACTATTCTGATTATTAGTGTTATGAGTGTTATTCGTATGTTTGCGTGCAGTCTTCGCGCTCGCAAAAGTAACCTTAAGGAGCGGAGGGGCTTCTCTGGCCACGGCGAGCCCCCGCCACGCAGAGGAGGCTCCCCGTGGCCTAGGTCCGAGGAGCGGCCCGAAGACCAGGGCCCCTCCTGAGCCCAAAGTGGTCCTTAATGCGGGATGACGATTAACAAAAAGAATGGGAGAGAACGATTAAACACATAGTTGTCTGCCATTTCTGCATAACTTTCTGACTGGAGGAGAACGATGAAAAAAGTAGTTTTCCAGCCCGCGGCCGGTTTTTTCTAATTGTCATCCCGGGCGCCGCCGCGTGAACACGAACCCCGGTCATTTATTAATCGTCATCCTCCATTATTCCAGCGTGCTGACTGCAACTTCTGCTGAATTTCAGTTCCCGAGCTGGGAGGGGCTCGATGTATACAGCACGTCGTTGGACCAGCCAGGGGGCACGGCGCATGTGCGCCTCAGCTTCTCAACCCGTGGGACGCCGGAACGTCTGCACGCCGAGCTTCTTCGCCGAAGTCCTTGGCTCGTTGGCCGGCCAAACGTGGTCTGGTTTTTGGGTCGGGCGTTGCTGATGTTTGGGGGGCGGTATGTGGGGGCGGGGAACGTGCCCCGTTCGCGCCCTGTTGCGCCCAAGGGGGCCCATTTGCGGCCCGTGTAGGGCACAAGAAATGCACCTGTCTTCAACCCCCCCTCCATCGCCCCCCCCTTACGCAACGCCGGATCGGAATTCTAGCTCGGGTCTCCGGCGGCCGTTCGGAACGATCCGGGCATCCCTGGACGCCGCTCGGGGAGGCTCAGCTGCTGAAGCGCGTCCCGAAGCAGGAAGCCTCCAGGGACCGCCACCCAGCCGTCCCGAACCCCCTGAGACTGTCCCCGCCACCCCGAGGTCCGTAGCTACAACAGTCTCGCTCTGCGAGCCGCTGAAGAGCACCGCGCTGCCGCCGTGGCAGTCGCCCGACGTTAGCAACCTCGGGGCGGCGGAAGGCCGGGGCGGCAGGGGAGCAGCGGGAGCATGGGGCAGGATGCTTCATGGAGAAAAGCATGTTAGCCAGCGCTGACCCCGAATAATACGTTTCTGAGAGCACATGCTGTGCCATCTGAGTGAGGCAATACATGTGGTACAACCTACGAGGTGCAAATAATTTCTGTTCGCAGTGAATTGTCCACTCCACTGCTCGCGCAAACATCCCACCCACTCACCCGCAACTTGGTTTGCAAACATCATGCGGCGGCGATTGCGATGAGTGCTTGGCGCTGGATGGTGCGTCTCTGCGGCCGCACCATCCCGCGCATGCGCGCAGCGGCCAGGTAGTTTGGCGCGACCGACGCGGGCGCGGTGGTGCTGACGCCCATCGAGGCGGGCACTTGAGTGCGAGTCGGCGACTTGGGCGGGTGCGGTATCATGGCAACGTCGACAATTGTAGACACGATGATGATGATGATGATGATGATGATGATGATGATGATGATGATGATGATGATGATGCTGATGATGATGATGATGATGATGATGATGATGATGATGATGATGATGATGATGATGACGATGATGATGATGATGATGATGATGATGATGATGATGATGATGGTAGCGATGTTGGTGACGATGTTGACAGCGACGCGGGCACGGCCAGTGACGGCGCCGATACCGATCACGCCGACGACGGTGACGGCGTTTTCGCGTCGGTGATCCAGGTTTTGAAAGGAATTCGAAATGCGCGAGCGGCAGACGCGCGAGGGTGGCTCGCATGGTATTATTTGACATGGACCGTGCCACCCCTGCACGCGCGCAAGGGCGTTCGAACGATTTCGACACGCGGAGCCCGTCTGGTAGCATGTTATGAGCATGTTGAAAACGTATGGTCTTCTTACGAATTCGCAGGAGCGCGCGCACGCTTTTGTTGAACATCAGTGTTGCGCAACCCTATGTTTTGAATGTTTTTATAATACCGAAACCGAAAGTCTTTGAAGGATTTCTGCATGCGCGCGCGACGACGCGCGCGCGCGTGCACTTCGTCCCGTTTTTTGCAAAGGATTCTCTCGACGGCACGCGCGCAAAGGCGATCGATCGATTTCGACATGCGCGCGCGAAGCCCGTCTGGTAGCATTTCCTGCAAGTGTTTAAAGACCGATGGTTTTCTCAGGAGTTCGCAAGAGCGAGCGTATGTTTTGCTTGAAAATCCGTATTGCGAAATCTGTGTTTTTACTTGTTTCTTGGACACTCGATTTTGCCATCCTTCCGAAACCGAAGGTTCCGGAAGGATTTCGCCATGTACGCGCGACGACGCTCGCGTGTGCACTTCGTCCCATCCGTGGCAAAGGATTATTGGAAACCTATGGTTGGTGATAAACGATTGAGCGCGCATGCTCTTTTTTTGCAGAGGATGGCGAAGGAGGCCGATACCGGCCTGGCTGGGATAGTATGAATTAATTCCCAGGTTGGATGAACAATGGGTCAGGATCCTATGTGTTTTGCATCGGTGCCCGGGTGGTGCTTAAGTCGGGGGGGAGGGTGGTAGAACCTTTTAAACAAAAGAAAACATTAGGCAACGTCGTGGTAAACTACGTCGTGCAATATACATTAGGCAACGTATGCCGTGCGATCTATGTGGTGTATTATATGTGGTGCAGTTCGCTTTGACTGTCTTGAAGCTGTCCTTTCCACTGCTCGTGCAAATATCCCACCCTCCCACCCGCAACTGGGTCGCAAGACTCTTAAGACCGACAGAGTGGGTACCAAATGGCACTTGGCAACGACAGCGACGCCGACGACGACAGCGACAACGACCACGACGACGACGCCGACGACGACTACGACGACACCGACGTCTCCGACGATTTCCACGACGACGACAACGACGACGACGACGACGACGATGACGGCGACACCGACGACGACGACGCCGACGCCGACGACGACGACGAGGACGACGACGAGGACGACGACGCCGACGACGACGCCGACGACGAGGACGACGACGAGGACGACGACGACGTCGACGCCGACGACGACGACGCCGACGACGCCGACGACGACGCCGACGACGACGACGACATCGCCGACGCCGACGACGACGACCGACGACGACGAGGGAGAAGGGAGGACGACGACGGCGACAACGACGACAACGACGAAGGAGGGGGGAGGACGGCGATAACGCGAACGACGAAGAAGGAGGGAGGACGGCGACGCTGATGATGACAACGACGAGGGAGGAGGGAAAACGACGACGACGACGACGACGACGGCGACGAAACAGGAGGGACGATGACGAGACGCCGACGACGGACGCCGACGACGACGAGGGAGGAGGAAGGACGACCACGGCGACAACGACGACGGAAGCCAAAGAGGACGACAGCGACGACGGCGACGAGAGACAGGACGACGACGGCGACGACGACGACGACGAGGAAGGAGGGAGGACGGCGACGACGACGACGACGACGACGATGCAAGAGCATGCGCGCGCAAGCTTTTGTTGAAAATCCGTGTTGCGAAACCCTGTGTTGTTGTATGTGGTTTGGGCACTCGGTTTTGAAATCCTTCCGAAACCGAAGGTCTTTGAAGGATTTCGGCATGCGCGCGCGACGACCCGCGCGCGTGTGCACTTCGTCCCGTCTTTTTGCAGATGATTCTCGTGACGGCCCGCGCGCAAGGGCGACCAAACGATTTCGACATGCGCGCGCGCGAAGCCCGTTTGGTCGTATGTTTGGCAATGTTGGAAAGCCGGTGGCTTCCTTAAGATGTCGCAAGGGCGCGCGTGCAAGTTTTTGTGTGAGAACATCTGTGTTGCAAAACCATGTGTTTTTGTATGTTGCTTGGGAACTGGATGTGTAAGTCCTTCCAAAACCGAAGGACTTTGAAAGATTTCGGCATGCGCGCGCGACGACGCGCGCGTGTGCACTTCGTCCCGTCGTTTGCAAGGGATTCTTGGAAACTTATGATTTTTGATAAACGAGTGCGCGCGCATAGTAGCTTGTTGCAGACGACGGCGGGGGGCGGGTCGATACGGGCCTGGTGGGAAAAGTATGAATTCATTGGTGGGATGGACGAAGGGGCAGAGTCACATGTAAATTGCAATACGAAAAAGGGGATCGATAATTCCGGGGGGGGGGGTAGAGTCTATTCTTATTTTACAAGAACTCACCCTGCCGAACTTGAAATTGTCTATTCCACTGCTCGCGCAATCATCCCACCCACCCACCCGCGGCGATTGCGATGACTGCTTGGCGCTGGCTGGCGCCTCGCTGCGGCCGCGCTGGCGGCCAGCTAATCTGGCGCGACCGACGCGGCCGAGTTGGCGCTGACCGCTGGGCACTTCCAAAGGCGTCTCGCAGGCCGCGCTGATGCGCGGGCACTTCATTGCGAGTCGGTGACTCGGCTGGGCGAGGTAGCATGGCGACGTCGACAACGGCACACACGAAGATAATAACAACGATGCTGGAATCGACGATGATGCTGATGACGATAATCCGGATGCTGAGGTTGATGATGATGATGATGATGATGATGATGATGATGATGATGATGATGATGATGATGATGATGATGATGGTGGTGCTGGAGTGATGACGATGACGGTGGCGATGATAACGATGCTGACGATGATGACGATGATAACGATGACGGTGTCCACGTGTCGGTGATGAAGGTTTTGGAAAGATTTCGACATGCGCGCGCGGCCTACGGGACCGAGGGGGCCCGCATGGTTATTCATTGACAAGGATCGTGTCCCCCCAGCGCGCGCGCAAGGGCGTTCGGATGAGTTCGACACGCGCGCGCGAGAGGCCCGCTTGGTCGCATGTAAGGTCAGTGTTGAAAAAAAAACTCATGGTTTTCTCAAGAAGGTACGAGAGCGCGCGCGCCGACCATTCTTGAGAAGACATGCTGCAACACCATGTGTGTTATATGTTTTCGGGGCACTCGATTTTGAAATCCGTGCGAAACCTCAGGTGTTTGAAGTAGTTCGGCATGCGCGCGCGACGACGCGCGCGTGTGGAATATATCATATTTGTTGCAAAGGATTTTTCACACTTGATGATATGTGATAAGCGAGTGTGCGCACGTGGCAATAATTGGCAGGGGTGACGGGGCCACTCGATAATGGCCTGGCCGGGATGGACTCATACTTCAAATCAAGGATGGGGCAGCATCACATGCAAGTTGCACATCCCCAGGTGGAGAGGATAATCCCGAGGGGGTAGATCCCAACTCCTCTTCAGAAAGGAAAGCATATATATATGGTGCTATCTATGCTGTGCACTATATGTCGTGCGTGATATGTGGTGCCAACTACGTGGTGCAATATGTGGTGCAATCCACGCGGTGTAATCGACCGCGGGGTCATAACGTCGGATCCGCGGCGCTGTCTGTCCAGTAACTCGACTCCGGCTGAGCTCCCTCGAATCTCACACCCCATTCCGAGCACCTTCTCGAACCGAGTCCAAGTGCCGCGACAAGGCGGCCCCGTGGCAGCAGCAACAGAGTCCGTGTACGGGTGGAGACAAGCTGCTTGAAGGCAAGCACCAGTCGCTTCCGTCAACTCCCTTCATTTCCCTAGTCTCTATGTCACAGACCCCCACAGCGCAGCCACCCCATTCGAGGCAAGGGTCCTGAAGTGAGCGGACAGCACAGGAGTACGCAGCTGGGATGGCACGCAGCGCGGTCGACCCGAGCATAGTCTGCAACGAGACGGGCTTGCGCCAAGATGACGTCTATTTGCGTGCACAGACGATTCACTCTCTGCCGCACCGTCTCCCTTCGCCTCCGAGCTCGCCGCTATCAACCATTGCAGGACGGGGTAAGAAGGACCGAGAATGAGACGGCAACATCATGTTGCACCGCAAGGGTGCTGGGAGACTCAATCCTACGATAACGTGATCTTCGAACGCCCGAGCGCTTTTCTCTGAGCCCAACATCATCATCATCATCATCATCATCATCATCATCATCATCAGCATCATCATCATCATGATGATCATCATCATCATCATCATCATCATCATCATCATCATCATCATCATCATCATCGTCGTCGTCGTCGTCGTCGTCGTCGTCGTCGTCGTCGTCGTCGTCGTCGTCGTCGTCGTCGTCATCAGCAACATCAATACCATAATCGTCATCGTCAACGCCATCGTCGTCATCATCATCATCATCATCATCATCATCATCATCATCATCATCATCATCATCATCATTACCATCATCACCAGCAGCAGCAAACCGAGTTCAGCTCTCTGAAGACTGTTTATGGATGCATTCGAAGCTGCTCTGAATCTGAGGTCACCTCACAACCCACCGAACGCGCGCACAACAATATGGTCTCAGGGCGAGTTGCCGCCTTATCAGTTCCCCCTCGCTCCTAGGGGAACGTCTTTGCATCGGGGAAGCGGGTCCCGAGGGAAACGGACCCTGGACCCCGTGGCCTTCCCCTCAGGATTAGGTCGGGCCTGTCCCCCTACGGGCAGATCTTGGACGAAAACTCGGAAGCACTCAAAAAACACACCCAAAATGTCTGAAAATAGTCGAAAATCGTCCCCATATTATTTTTTGACTATTTTTGAATCTACCTCCTCTAGAGGGACACGCCCGACTTAACCTCAGGACCAGTTCTTGATCCTGAATCGTCTTCTGACTATTCAAGGGCCCGAGGAGGGCCCCCGGAAGTCAAAGACGGTGTGGCTTGCACCCGGTTCCCCACCGGGCACCCTGGGGGGCGGGCGAGGTCCTCGACACAGCTCTCCGCCGCGCCCCAGGGAGGCCCGACGAGGACAGTGTCATGCTCCCTGGGCCCCGACGGTGCCGATAGCTAACCACACCCCGGCGTAACCCTACCCGTTCTATAGTACAGTCGGACTCGATTGGACAGGACACGCGAGAGGACACAATGACCCTTCCGAGGGCCACGTCGCCACAGGAATGCAAGAGGCATGGGCCGCGAGACACAGGACACGAGGGAGGACACGAGGGTACCCTTGTTTTGGCAAGGTCGGCCTACTAATCCGGGCCGACTGCACCGCCGATCCCAGAAAGCTCCCTCCAGGCGCGCCTGCCTGCGGCCGGCAAACCTCGCGTGGCCCGCGGTGCTCAGGCGTGCCCGCTCGCTCCCGGCGCAGATCGCGCTACCAGCTCTGCTGCCAAGAAGCTCACTGGGAGGATCACGCCAGGCGTGGCCGCTCGCCGTCTGGCAGCCGAATCGCACAACTGGCGCGTCAGGAGACGAGCTGGCACACCAGGAGCTACGGTCAGGAGCTTTCGCTCCGCGTGTCGCGGCGGCGACCCCGGCGACACGCTATGCCTTGCGAGTGGAAGGCGTGTCGCCCAGCTTCGTGGGCCAGGAGGTCGGGAAACGCTCGGGAAGCTTGGGCTAGGGGGCTGGGCAGTGGATAGCGTGTAGCTCTGGAGCGTGGTGGGCTACAAACCTACAAACGGCGGGGAGAGCCATCCCAAAGTTCTTAAGCGTAAGAGGAGAGGAAGCGGAGCAGCGGTTGGGGGGATCCAAGAGAGGGAGGGGGGGCGCAAATCACGGCCGGCGGCACGTACGCGGCCCAGGGGGGCCAAGGGGCGCATTGAAACAAGAAGAGGCGCCATGGCATCTGGGGAGATAGCATGGCCCCCGCCATAACAAAAAGCCTCCCCCCCCCTGAGTCATCACACCCCTCTTGGCCGCCCCCGCAGCGGGGAACACCGCAGGCCTGGTGCCTCCGCCGGGCGAGCTCTTCAGCGGCGACGCGTGGCCGACCGACGGGGTGACCTCGGCACCGCGGGCGCCGCGGCAGCGCAGGCGCCCTGCGGCCCACGATGGCATGCCCTGCTTAGCGCTGGGTGCAGTCCACGCGACGAGGAGGAGGAGGAGGAGGAGGAGGAGGAGGAGGAGGAGGAGGAGGAGGAGGAGGAGGAGGAGGGAGGAGGAGGAGGAGGAGGAGGAGGGAGGAGGAGGAGGAGGAGGAGGAGAGAGGAGGAGGAGGGGGAGGAGGAGGAGGAGGAGGGAGGAGGAGAGGAGGAGGAGGAGGAGGAGGAGGAGGAGGAGGGAGGAGGGAGGAGGAGGATGAGGAGGAGGAGGTAGGAGGAGGAGGAGGAGAGGAGGAGGAGGAGGAGGAGGCGGAGGAGGCGGAGGAGGAGGCGGAGGAGGCGGAGGAGGACAAGCTAGGCGCACTCGCGTCATAATTGACGTCATACCCCTCCCTCCCATCCCTTACCATGGCGTAGATCTCCTCTCTATTCGCACAATCGGATGTCGCAGCATGGCACAGCATTACATGGCACAGCATGATGTTGAGGATTAACGCGTAGCACGACGCGTAGCCCGTTATAGCATGGCGTGGCGACGCCCCAAAGTGGGGGGGGGCTCCTGCGGCCGAAAAAACCCACGAATCGGACCAGAATGTGCAATCACTTCCGACGGTTTCTTTCGGGAGGCATTGTGCCTACTTGGAAGGACCGATCACCATGCCGTGGCATGGCGCTGGAAATAATGACGCCAGTGCTGCAACGGGAGCACAATTCGGAACGAGCGGAAGCGCGGAAACGAGGCCAGCGCTGCAGCGGGAGCACGACTCGGAACGAGCGTTAGCCCGAAAATGATGCCAGCGTTTCAGCGAGAGCAGCATTTTGAAAAAAAGACAAAACAAAAAAACAAGCGCGCAAGCGCGGAAATGAGGACACGTAGCCTGACCTAGCATGGCGTGGCGACGCCCCAAAATGGGGCGGGAAGCTTCTGCGGCCGAAAAAAAAATCGAATCGGAGCAAAACGTGGAATCATTTCCGATGGTTCCTTCGGGGGCATATGTTCGATGTTGGGGTCGATTTGGAAGGACCGACAACCATGCCGTGGCGTGGCGTTGCAAAGAATGACGCCAGCGCTACAGCGGGAGCACGATTCGGAACGAGCGGAACCGCGGAAATGAAGCCAGCGCTGCAGCGGGAGTGCGATTCGGAACGAGCGGTAGCCCGAACATGAAGCCAGCGCTTGCTTCAGCGAGAGCAGCATGTTGAAAACAACAAAACGAAAACCCAACTCCCGGGAATCCTGTGTAAAAAGCCAGTACGCGGAGAGGGGCCAGCCATTTCGCGGACCCCACCAGGGGAGAGAGGAGAGTAGTACTCATATTGTTGACGTGCGAAAAGAAGGAGGAGGAGGAGGTGGAGGAGGAGGTGGAGGATGAGGTGGAGGAGGAGGTGGAGGAGAAGTCCACGACGGTCGAATACCGCGGGGGGCTGTTCTTGACCCTTGTCAGAGCCCCTGGGGGCCTCTGGAGAACTCGAAGGTCGATGGGGGTTGCTTTCGGCCCTTGAGACTCCTGGAGGCCTGTGGGGGCCTCGACGGATCTCTGGGCGGGGGTCCCAGGTGGCACCAAGACGAGGGACTCAAGCCCAAAGGCGATGACAAGATCAGGGATGCACCTTCGGAAGCTGCGGGGGGCCTTAACACTGGCATCGGTCAAGACGGTGCCAATCATAGAACATGGGGAAATATGCTGTTCAGGCTAATCGGCCCCGTCGTACTATCATGTTCCTCCTCGTCATCTTCCTCCTCCCAGCATCATCATCGTCATCCTCACCAGCAGCAGCAGCGGCAGCAGCAGCAGCAGCATTATCATCATCGTCATAGTCAGCAGCATCATCATCATGTTCCTCCCCTCCTCCTCTCTAGCGCTGAACAACTTCCACAAGCACCGTCTTGGGGTATGGCTGCCTCGCGCAAGCCTGCGTCGAGGGAGTCCAGGCGCTGGCTGCAACGGGCGCTTGCTCGGACGGATTTCTTGGACCGGCGCTGGACGCTCTTCCATGGCGCCCGCAGCGCTCCAGGGCAAGGGGGGATCCAGCGTCGTCGTCGTCGTCGCCCTCGTCGTCACAACTGCCTCCGCCGATGAGTGGCTACGCAAGCAAGGTGCGGGCGCAGCCTGCCGTCAAGAGGAGGAGGAGGAGGAAGAAGAAGAGGTAAGGCACAGCGCTCCCAAGATGTCCATGCCTCGTTGCATCTCCTCGCTGCGGGCCTGGGTGACAATGCTGCGCAAGAGATCATCATCGAGAAACTCCTGCTGTCGACGCCTGGCCGAAGTCGTCGGGACGGTCAAGGGCATTTCCGAACTATTCTCCTCACAAGCAGGCGGAGGAGGAGGAGGAGGAGGAGGAGGAGGAGGAGGGGAGAGAAGAGAAGGAGGAGGTCGTCGTCGTCGTCGTCGTCGTCGCCGCCGCCGCGGCCGCCGTCGTCGTCGTCGTCGTCGTCGTGGTCGTCACCACCACCACCACCAGCCCCCCCCACCCCACGCCAACCGCAGGCCAGACGGCGGTGGCGGCGGCGGCCGAGTGCGCCGGCGAGGTGCGGCGGCGAGTGCGGCGGCCACAGCGCAGGGCGGCGGGCCGCACCGTTGCCGGCGGCGGCGGGGGGGGGGGCCTTGAAGGGGCCCCGGGACAAACAAATCAACACACACAAATAAACAGATTCCCCATAGTTTCCCATACTTTCTGGGTTTTCATCTTGCCCCCACTTCCCATATTTTCCCATATTTTCTGGGAGTCGACGATTACTTGTGTCTGTGTGTTTTTTCCCCTCCTGAGGCCTGCAGGACGCCCTCGTGGACCACGAAGAAGTAGTGGCCGACGTCGCCGTGGCTCAGCAGCGTCCTGCCCGCCTGGCGACCGACGGCGGCGCGCCGAGGGGGGACGAAGCGGAGAGGGGGCGAGCCTCCTCAGAGGGCCCGGACGGCCTCTGGCCGTCTGCAGAGCTTTCTGATGAGCTTTCTAGTCACAAAGCAAGGGCTCCCAACTTCGCGCTTCGCACTGCGCGGAGCGCGAAGTGCGAATGACTTCGCGCTCTCGCGCCGCCTCCCAAGGGAAAAGAAGACGAGGAGGAATCGGAGCCGAACCGCGAAGCGCGAAGCGCGAATCACTTCGCGCCCTCGAGGGCGCCCCTGCAAAGGGCGGCTCGTAAGGTCGGGGGGCTTCTGAGAAGCCCCGCCGCCTTCTGAGAAGGCCTGCCCCCATCTCACTTCCCCCTCGGCGCGCCGCCGAGAACGGGAGGCCACCCGTAACGGGGGCATAGCCACATCCACGGTCGCGGCCTGTTGCTCAGCCTGTCGCGGCGGCGGCCCCGGCGGCACGCCATGTCCTGCACGCGTCCTGTGAGCGTATCATCGTGTAGGGATCGTCTGCAAGTCGGGACGGTCTATGAACAAAACGCCCTGGCGACGATGACCTCCTCCCCCTCCTCCTCGTCCTTATCCTAAGTGTCCCTCCTCCTCCGAACTTCGAGCTGCGGACCTTGCTGACGATGATTCACCTCTTCCCTCCTCCTGTCCTCCTCCTCCTCCTCCTCCTCCTCCTCCTCCTCCTCCTCCTCCTCCTCCTGTCCTCCTCCTCCTCCTCCTCCTCCTCATCCTCCTCCGCCTCCTTGACTCCGAAGCACGTGTGAAGACTCCACTGGCGAGATGGGTGGCTCCCCTCCCCATGCCGAACCCGAGGGATCTGTGCCGAGGGAGGCGGCGGGCGCTGGCGAGAGCGCGCACCTCGAACGCGAAGAACTCCGCGATCTCCACCATGGTCGTAATGGCCTGGGGCCATCCACATTCTCCTCCTCCTCCTCCTCCTCCTCCTCCTCCTCCTCCACCTCCTCCTCCTGCCACTCCTCCTCCTCCTCCTCCTCCTCCTCCTCCTCCTCCTCCTCCTCCTCCTCCTCCTTCACCATGGTCGCAACGGCCTTGGCTCATCCATCCCTAGCAGGGGGAACGATTCGTTCGAGGTTCGAGGCTTTCGGACGCTTTCGTTGGTTCTCGGCAGCCTTCCAGCCTCGGGATGCCTTGCAGCGGCTGCGTCTTGACAAGAGCGTTCCGGGCGTTACGGGATCGTCCCGAACGCCCGCCAGAGGCCCGAAATATGACATGTAAACCATTGGGGGACTGACAAAGGGGGAAAAAGCGACCTAGAATCGCCCAACGGGCCAGAGGTGTGCTGGGATCTCTGGGAACAGGTGAACTGGGGATCTGGGGACGAAAAGTACTGGAACCCCTGGACGAAAAAAACCCTGGGGATCCCTGGGGAACGCGCGCGCGGGGCCGCCCCTGGGGATCCCTGGACGAAAAGTACCCTCCAGAACCCCACGCAAGGTCCCGGCAAGGTCCCGGCAGACTCGGATCAGAGATGTTTTTGCTCCAGGGTGCAGCATTCCAGGAATCCCAGAGCGCTCCACGAGCGCTCAAGATGGCTCTAGAAGCCTCCAAGGCGGCATGCGATGCCCCCAAGACGGCCTCAGAGAAATGCAGGGGGATCCGAAGACGGTCCAAGAGCGCTCCAAGAGGGCTCAAAATGGCCTCGAGACGGCCCAAGAGGCCCCCAAGAGACCTCTCAGGGTAGCCTTGACAAGGTACAATATCCCCATTCCCGTCGGAAAATGTACATGTTTAGCGTTTCTCCCTTTTGCGTCCGAGACGGTCTGAGAGGCAGCAAACATCACCCTAAGACGGCCCAGAAGGCTCCCGAGAGAGCCCC